CTCGAGCGCAGATTTCGTGGCAAGCGCAGTGCACAGAGCCTCCCGGACTAGCTGCGGCGCGCGTGGTTGCCGCTGGGCCGCGGCTGCCGTTTGTGTGGCAGGCGCAGCACTCTCTGCACCTGGAGTGTAGATTTCGTGGCAGGCGCAGTACACAGAGCCTCGCGGAGCAGCTGCAGCCGCGGCGCGCGTGGTTGCCGCTGGGCCGCGGCTGTCGTGTGTGTGTGGTAGGCGCAGCACTTGGTGAACCTGGAAGGGGGGCTTCGTGGCAGGCACGGCACTGTGTGCAGCCGCTGGGCGGCGGCTATTTGTGTGGCAGGCACAGCGGTTGGTGAACCTGGAAGGGAGATTTCGTGGCAGGCACAGCACTCTGCGCACAACTGTTATCCACTCATCACACACCACTCATCAAACACCACGCATCACACACCACTCATCACCCACCACTCATCACACACCACGCATCACACACCACTCATCACACACCACTCATCACACACCACTCATCTTACACCACTCATCACACACCACTCATCTTACTCCACTCATCACACACCACTCATCTCACACCACTCATCACACACCACTCATCGCACACCACTCATCACACCACTCATCACACACCACTCATCGCACACCACTCATCTCACACACCACTCATCACACACCACTCATCTTACACCACTCATCTTACACCACTCATCACACACCACTCATCACACACAACTCATCACACACCACTCATCACACACCACTCATTACACACCACTCATCTTACACCACGCATCACACACCACTCATCTGACACCACTCATCACACACCACTCATCACACACCACTCATCACACGCCACTCATCCTACACCACTCATCTTAGACCACTCATCACACACCACTCATCACACACCACTCATCTCACACCACTCATCACACACCACTCATCACACCAGTCATCACACACCACTCATCACACACTACTCGTCTTACACCACTCATCACACACCACTCATCACACACCACTCATGGCACACCACTCATCTCATTCATTTTTATCGTCCAGTATCTTTCCGTCCTCTTTTCTTATCAGTCTCTACTTCTCGTTGATAGTTCTTACATGTTCTTACAAGCTTAACATGTGGGGTTATCCGGCCCTTTTATTAGTCTCGAGTCTCTAAATGAGTGGATATTGGGAACCCCCATCCTCCAATGTGTGCCGAACAAACGAACAAGATCGGGGAAGGTAGCCCAACAACTAAGGTCGACCCCGATAGTGCACGCAAGTCTCCGCACTCCATGGGCGCCCCGGTCCGGCGCTATTCCTCAAAAGAGGGGGTACATATAAACCAAACTAAACCTATTGACGTATGTCGTTAGGTTCACCCTATTGCTTTAACGGGGGACAACAAACAAAGGGTTTGCCCTGCCGACTCTCCGGCGCTCCTGCGCAGCTTAGGTGGGTACCACCCCGGCCGCTCACCAAAACTGCTCAGCACATTGAGCGCCCCCACCGACGGCTGAGCTTAGGCAGCACCTCAGGCCATCCCACGGCCTTTCCCCGCCCTTTACTACCCTTGCCTCCTCTGCCCTTTCCTCCTGCGCCCTTGCCCCTAGCCGGCGCCCCTCCCCAGCCAACCCTCCTTCCCCTATGGCAGCCGGACGACAGTCAGGCAAAGCCGTGAAAAGCAACAGAGCGGGTCCGCTCCACAGGGCTCCCAGCCAGGCATGAGAACACCAACAACCAAGGCAACAGCCTCTCCGAGTCCGTATAGGACTCCTTCTGGGAACAACCCAGGCACAACCACACGGAGTTTCCGTGGGCCGGCCTTCTGGTGATGCCAGGCAGAGGTCACGGCGTATAGCCGGCCGCAAACTCAGTAGTGCTCAGACAGCGAGATAGCCAACGAGGCGGTAGCCGAACAGCTAGCCCCTAAACCTCGGCTATTCCAGGCAAGCAGATCGAAACGAACCCGACCGGCAACCGAACACGAGCGGGCACCTAACCGACGTTGGGCCTTAGTGCAATTGCGTTTGCGGCGGCGGGCCGAAAGTTGCTGAAAACTCTTGACGTCGACGCAGGCGTTTTCCGACGTACGTAACCCGGAAGACTAGCTCATGCACCATCAGCTGTCGCAAATGCCGCGACTCCGACGGAACCTGTTCCCCCGCAACCTTCCTTTTTCTAGACACCTCTTCGAGCCGGCAGACACAACACCTCCACTCCCCTCAGCAAAGCACCGCGCCTGGCGAAGCCACTCCCGAAGCGCCGAACATCGTCGGGCCTAAAACACCATGCACACCCCCGCCGAGTCCACCCCTCCAGACGTCACAGCAGCGTTCTGGCCAGGAACGACTGACTGCTGACCCCAACGACACAAAAGGTGGAAGAGGTACATCCACCGACTGGGAGGTCGAAGGGGATTGCTCGCGTCCCACCCCCACCTTTGAGCAGAAACACCAGCAGAAGCACAAACACAAAACACCCGGAGGCTCCAGACCCGTAGGACTGGAATGGGTTTGCCTTCGGCATCCAACCCCCCATGGATACACCTCCAAACGCCGCCCTCCCATACACCTGCACCCGTCTACCAGCTCCATAGGGACCCACACCGGGTACTTGCTACCGAAGTTGCCCCGCAGCCGCCCGCGAGGAGGACCAATGTGTACACCCTTTATGACTCCTGGTATATATTCCATACGAGTACGTACATGGAGTGTCTCGGCCTTGCTTCGTGAAGCACGCGTTTTTGCGTTTCGCACGCGTTTGTCGCATTTCGCACGCCAGGCTTTTGGCGTCCCCACCAGGTCAGCGCCCGCTGCGTCTGCGTCACCTTGCTAGGCAGAGGGGTCGGGCAAAGGAGGAATGGTGGTTTTCTTGGCTTGGTGAAAGCGCAAGACCTCCTGATAGATGATAGGTGAATCCTCTTGGCTGGTGGATCCTGGGTAGATCCCAAGAGAATTCATTGGTTGTTGCATCGGATTTTGCCATGTCGAGATCATGTCGAGCTCCAGGGGAGCTTGACAGGTGGATCACTGGCTCTTTGCATGGCTCTTTGGATGGTAGCTTTTGTGGGTCTTCGGTGAAGGAGAGGTGCTGTGGCCTTAGGCCGTAGAGCTTCTGATAGGTCTTCGGTCTTCGCTTCTTGGGGCCGTTGGGAGCTTCTGATAGGGAATACCCCTAAAAACCATTGGTTGGTAGAGGAAAACAATCTTCCAGGGGGCCATTGTCAGGGTCTATGTTAGTTTTCGGGAGTGTATCTGGAAGTTCCTCAAGGAAGATGTCCGGGAATCCTGAAAACGGTCAGGAAGGTGCACGCCAATCCCTTCCAACACAGAACTCTTCCGAAGTCCACGCCGTTGGACACCGGTTCCGGGTTTTTGGAGACGAGACTCGAGTGTTCTTAGCTGGTTGGATCATGGTTGGACAGTTCTGGCACACTGGGATTGCAACAACCATTGAAAAAAATATAGTCTTTACCAAACAACCCTGGACCATTGTAGTCCTAAGGAGTTTATCCTACAAAACCAGGTCCTCCAGTTGTAACTGGTCTTTGAGCGCTACAAAAAATATCAAAAAATCATGGCTCTGGTCCCTGAAGGCCTGCCACCTCCGCTAAGCTACCGCGCTGCTAGCCGTCCTCGCAGCCGCCGCGGCCTGCCAGGAAGGAGATCCGATCCCAGGTCGTCTACTGCGAGGGAGAAAAGTGAACGTTAGCACCACCTGCAAAAGCACAAAGCAAGAGAAACTTACAGATCAAAAAAGGGAACTGGAGTTGCTGGTGCAGGAGTCCACAACTCCATTCCACTTTTAAAACGAGCACTAGCTGAAGCAGGGCTCCACCTGCTAGGGCTCCGCCCAGGTTGACGTCGAGGCGTGGCAGGGAATGGATGGGTGCCACACTCACCGGAGACTCACCACGCGGATCGGTGGCTTTTCGGACGTCAGTCATGCGACACCGTCCATCCGACTGGGTCCACATCATGAGGAGCATGATGGCCTGGATTCATGTCTGTTGAGTTTGACCAAATGGCAGTGGGTCAAAACCTGGAGCTCCAACAAAAAGTTGCTTAGGTTGACCATCCCTGGACCTCCCTGGCCGATTCTTCTTCTCTTCCCTAAGAAGCCCAGACCAACATCCCTATAGGTTTGCGTACCGGGCCCGGACCCGTGCGATTCGGTGTGGGGGCCCCACATGGCCCATCAAACACCTGCGTTTCCCTAGCCAAACGCATGCCAGCACCTTCAAAGGGGTCACCTGGCTGGTTTCGCCCCAGCCCTAAGGGACCTCCATTGGACACCCCTTGAAGGTCCAGGTGTGTGAGTTTGTATGTGAAAACCCTTTACCTTTGGAAACGGGCCGGGCCACTGGAGGATCCAACCGACCCAACTGCGCCACAGTGCAGAAATGGAAGCACCCGATTCTTGTGGTGCTGGCTCCGCCGGAGATGGTGCCCTCCAGGCCGAGGTCGGGGAATTTGGATCTCGTTTGGTTGGAGATACTCAGGTTGGAAACACAAGACAAACATCTTTGGACTCAAGTTTGACTCAAGTTTGGACCAGTAGACTTTCCAGTCTTCTGGGTCAGACTGGACACAGACTGGACACAGACTGACCATTGTAGACCCTGTCAGACTGGCCAGGCGCCGGCCGCTCGACCAGATCGCAGGTGCGCGGCGCATGTTTCTCTCAAAGCAGGTCGCTGCTGACTCCGATGGCACTCCGACTCTGACGCTTAGCGATGGCACCGTTTTTTGGGACAAACCCAGCCGTCCAGAAACCAGTCGTAGCCGCATTCATCACAGTGACACTCTTTTGGTACGATTCTTTTGCACCCCCGTAGCGTGCTCATGTCGAAGTCCTGGTCATCATCGTCATCCAACGCAAAGATGGGCACTCTCACAAACAGAGAACCGCAGCCCATGAATGCTTGAGGCCCGATGTGGGTCACAGAGTCTGGGATGTTCAAGCTCGCAAGAGACCTGCACCCATAAAAGGCCCTCGGTCCTATATTGCTCACAGAGTTCGGGAGTGTCAACTTGGTCAAAGAGCTGCAATCAGCAAAGGCACCATCTCCGATGTGGGTCACGTTCGGGATGGTTACGGTTACCAAAGAGCTGCAATCAGCAAAGGCACCCTCTCCGATGTGGGTCACGTTCGGGATGATTACGGATACCAAAGAGCTGCAACAAGCAAAGGCACCATCTCCGATGTGGGTCACAGAGTCTGGGATGTTCAAGCTCGCAAGAGACCTGCACCCATAAAAGGCCGCCGGTCCGATTTCGCTCACAGAGTTCGGGAGTGTCAACTTGGTCAAGGAGCTGCAACGACAAAAGGCATCATGCCCAATGTATGTCACAGAGTCTGGGATGGTCACGCTCGCCAAAGAGCTGCAATCAGCAAAGGCACCATCTCCGATGTGGGTCACAGAGTTTGGGATGGTCAGCTTCGCCAATGTTTCACACTCGTAAAAAGCATCCTCAAGAATGTGCGTTTCACCGTTGGGAATTTCGACCACTAGCAGCAGTTCGGAGTCGACGATGCCGCCAAGATTGACGATCTCATCTTTGTTGGAGCATATCACTTTGTTTGGTCTGAAGACGACAGTCACACGGGTATCTTCAGCAATTCCAACGTCCAATACTTTTGAATCGTTGGCCAGCAAATGATTGTCTCCAACAATGATCTCCACACTTGTAGTGCGGCGAGTGAGCTCGTCCCAGTGCTGTCCTTCCTTGATCTGCTGCTTGAGCAAGCGGCCTGTTGTTTCTGGCGTGACTTCAAGAACTAGGACTTCACCACTTGGCTGCAGCGCTGAAATCTTTGTCGCCATGGCTCAAAGACTATACGGATTAGGATTGTTTCGGATTAATAGGGATCCTTGCTCGCTAGCGTTCAACAGCTCTCCTTTTCTTCTGTTTCACACCTGGGCATGGCTGGCGATTTGGACACCGATGGCAAAACCATCCTCGATCGACCGGTCGCTTGTTTCAAACAAATTGATCTAGATCGGAATCGGAGTGAGAACGCTCCGGACGTCTGGAGATCTCCGGTGAGTGATGGGTTCAGTTCGGTTCGCTTCGCGTCGCTTCGCCCACGCGTCGGTCCCGAGAACGGGATCGGAACCGACGCGCTCGTCCCGCTCGTCGAAGCGAAAGGCGTATAGCCCTTCTTTCCCGACGGGTCCGTTGGGAAGAAGACCATTTGCGGGAACAGTCTGGTGACTTGTAAATCCCTTAGTATAACAATGGTTGTTTGGGATGACCCGGCTGTTGAAACAATGGTGGGCCACGACTTCTAGGGCAAACCTGGAAACTTCAATGAGGATCCTGTGGGCATTCTCCTTGAGTCTCCAAAGACCTTTTATTTCTGCGTTTTTGCTTTTGGTCTAATATTTTTGCGTTTTTGCTCGAAAAACGCGTTTTTAGAGATGAGGACTCAAAAAAAGGTGCAGAGTGAATCTTCATCCGGACGCGTCCGGCACGGACGCTTAAAAGCGCCTTTTGGACGCAAAAAGACGCGTTTTGGACGCCGAAAAAAGGTCTCAGGACACTGTCTAAGGAGGATCTGACAGGGCACAAACAAAAAAGGAACATTTCGTGACATATGCAAAAAAGAGTGCTTTCTTTCAAAAACCTCTTTTTCTTGGAAAGGCAAATTTAAAAGGGTCATTGGAGACTCAAGGCTCGTATATGAGCCACGGTCATCAATTATTTATGCTAAGGATGTGTTTTATCGCTTTCGTTTTTTGGGGAGACTTTATCGGCTTTCAGCTTTTTGTTCAACCAAATGCTTTTGGCATTTTTACATTGTGGACGCATGCAGCGAAGCTACCTACTCGCTGAAATCAGAAGCAGTGGATGACGAGCTTGTTCACAGCTCGCTTGTCAGCAGCGGACAAAGGCATTGCAATCTCGAGTGGGTTTGTGAAATTTGGTGTACCTATCTCTATCTGAATCTTTATCGGCCTTCTGTTGAGTGTGAGTTGTGCGATAGAATCATGTCAAAACGCGGGGTTTTGCATGGTATTGAGTCGACAAGCATGACGAATCATCATGAAAACAAGACAAGTGCAACAAAAACAGGGGCGGTGCTGAAAAATCGTTCCAATATCGATCCAAATGGACTGCTGGAACATCTACCGAATGGACTGCTGCACCTTTTTCAAGGGATCTCCAATAGACCAGTACCCCAAGTTGGGAAAGGTTGCATGGAATGATTTGGCCTAGTGGCCCGTTTTTCCATCAAAATCCTTAAAGAATCTAGAAGTCGTGGCCCACCATGTGGAAAATAGCCTAACAACCCAACAACCATTGTTGTACTAAGGAATTTTTACACAACAAGACCAGATTGTTCCCATTTTTTTTGATGATCGGATTGACTTTCAGGGTATATATACAATGGTTCTTCGGAATTCATGCGGATTCAGGCTCTGGAAACTCAATGGTGGGGCCCGAACTCCGGCGAACCGCCACCGCGTGACGCTGCCCCACCTGCCTGGTACTCCTCTGCCTTGGCTTGGACATCCGCCGTGGTGCGCCAAATCACCTTGGTCTTCGGAGCGGACGTGGACACGAACGGTCCGAGCGGAGCAGAGGTTCGGGGCCCCGCCCCAAGCAGGTGGCGAGTGCGACCAAACGATCTCGCTTGCTTATGCCCTAGAAGTCCAAATAAGACCGGGGCACCACCGGTGCTGAAGAAAATTCCTGAACTCACTCAGATCACCGAACTCGTCAGACCGTTTTTTAAGTGGTCTCCTATAGGGAATGGGTATTGGGCAAACTGACTTTTGGCTGTTATATATGGAAGGCGAGCAATGTTCTTTATGATGATATAGGGCTGATGTGGGGATTTGAAGTTGGCACTTATACCCACTCTTCATCACAATTCCAAATAGTTTGCCAAATAGTGTGGCTTTTCTGTTTCCAGGCTACAGCAGCTTCCAGCCGTGCAGCTTCCCTGGCCATGTCTTCACACCGCCCACGAGTCACTCCCCGCGGCAGCCCGCGACCCGCGGGACCCGCGGGACCCGCGAGACCGACCATTCGAGCTGCCAGGTGTTCGGCGCCCAAGCGAGGGCCAACGAAGGCAAAGAAGCCTCGCTTGGGCAGACAGACCCGGTCTCCGACTCGAGGGTTGGGGTCCACTCAGACCCGGGCGACTTAGGTCTAGCATTGGTGACCTAGACCAAGTGAGGAGGCTGGTACATGTATGGTTCTAATTACATTGTACCTAAGGCTTCATGAACCTGCTACAAAGGCAGGACCAGCCAGGAAAGCCAGGTGATTGATTCAAGAACCGGGTTTTGGAAAAAAAAGCTACCGGTTTTTCACCATCACAAGAGTTCCATGTCCAAATCCACACGAGTTCCGATGCCTTCTCTGTGTCACAGTGCAGGCACCGCGAGCCGGACGCAAACCCCGAGCCGATGGGCCGAGATGGGCCGATGGTCCATTCAGGGTGGGTTGAAAAGGGGTCATTGATGCCATGGAGATCCATGGAGTCTCTATACCAGCTGCGCCACCGGGCTCAGGGTTCACCTGGCTGGACCTCTCCACACGACTTACAGGTCTCCTAGTCCAGCAGGGCAGCCCGGGTCCAGGAAGCGCTACTGGTCAGGTAGTTGCGTTTGATCTCAAGATGGGGGGTGGTCTGGAGTCTGCGGCTGAACCGCTGGCGGCTGAACAGCTGCCTGAAACGATGGCGAGCTCGCACCGATCTGTGTGTGGAAGGATGTGGCAGGGTAGACCTGCTCACATCTCCTAACATCCCCAAACTATCCCTGCTCACTTCCCCTGGGGCTCCAACCATATCCTCAGAAGGTAGTTAGACCCCTCTGGCACCCACCCCAACCACCGAACCTCAGGAGGTGGTTTATCAATCTTGTCCATCCAACCAGCCCTGTTCCGGAAGCAGTTCTTGCAAGGTCGACGCACCAAGGGTTCATCGACCGGCAACAATGCAACAATCGACCGGCCGGAAGATGAGGTCAGGCCAGAGTCCCAGCACGAACATCGCCAGGAATTCCAAAAGAAACAGAGAAAAACAGAGACCGAAGAGATCTACTTCGAATGCAAGCACGAACATCACCAGGAAAAAAACGTCAGAAAGCCAGACGAGTTCATCACCGGTTCCTCTGTTCATCGGAGCCACGGCGGGCGGAGCCACGGCGGTGCCAAAGCCAGCCCGGGGCACCCCACGCAGGTCTCCGAGCCGCACTTCCCGAGTGCCGGGCCTTGGGGGGGTCGGTCGAAGCAAGGAGGAGGGGGTAGGACCCGTCGGTCGTCACTGACCCAGGCTGTGCCGGGGGGGCCTGTCTGGGGCGGCAGAACTATGGCAGTCCCATGGAGTGGATGGGATAGAAACTTAAATCACACACAATTGGTTCAAAGTTCGTGATTGTATGCATGTGTTTGTGCTTTGACTTGAGTGAGTTGGGTCACCTATGCCACCTGGGCAAAAATAGATACCAGCACCCAGTTCGAGATTTTTGAGGTCGGTTCGTGAGACCTGGGCACTTGGGCCCTTCCCAAGCCTCAACTACCAGGACCTTCCAACAGGTGGTTTTTGGGCACCCCTTGACCTCTAAGAGGCTGTGTATAAACACCTCTTGGAAGGTCCTGGTACATAAAGACTTGGCGGTGAGGGTCCTGGTAGATGGGTGTACGAATGAAATCCCGTGAAAGGTGTCATGTGCTATTACCAATGGGTGCCATGGGCTGTTCGACTGGGGGGAGAGACCCCCGGCCGGCCTATGGGAGACCTGTGCGAGTTGCCACACAACTATGACGTCAGCGTCCTCGGCGGAATCCAGCGGCCCCCAAACGCATCCCAAACAGGTCCAGTGGCCACGCCTGCATGGATCTTCCGATTTCCCGCGGATGTCCTGTCCTGTCAATCCGGTCTAGTAGTGGGTGTAGGGGGCCTTCCAGCACATTGGAAACCGAACGTGCTGGTACCAGCACCTGCAAAAAGGAGATCACCTGGCGAACAGCCACCCGAGCCCACTGCTATCCGGGACCTCCAGATAGGACACCCCTTAAGAAGATCGATGATCTATAGGTTGTTTTTAGATCCGTTTGGGTGGCGGATGCCGAACTCGGAAAGCCAAACGAAAGCCACGAGCCGGAAAGCCGCTTTTCGAATCCGACGAGGGCCCCCGGACATGGGCTGGGAATAAGCGTCAAAGGCCAGGAAGGCGTCGGCCTGGGCGAAGACGTCCGTCTGCCGATGCTATCGTTTTCCCCTGAGCTGAGGTGGAAACGACGGGAAAGCAAAACGGAGAAGGAATTCGGAGCTTCAGAGCGAATAATTAAGAAGGGGAAATCAAGAAAGTCAGTGTCTTAAGCTGTGTTTTTGGTCTAAGCGACTTGAGGCTCTTTGTGTGTCACGAACTTGGGACTACGTAAATTGAATGGCATACTCTCCACCGTTCAGGCGATTCCTTGAAAATCCCTTCCGCGAAAAGGGGGCTTCACAGAAGAACTAGATCATTGATCTCAATCGGACTGGGCGCCCAACGGGATAGGTCCTGGATGTGGAATGCTTTCGGGTGATCCCCTTCTTCAGGGCGCTGGGGGGGTGCTCTTTCCACCAGCCAAGGCACACTCCGCGACCGCGACACCCGTGCAGTGCCATCTGGAAGCTTCTGAACCTGCAGCCGTGAAGGTGAAGGCTGTTGACGCGGTTCCCAACGCAGTCCCAACGAATTCCCATCATCTCACTCAAGGGATTACTCTCCCTAAAACTTCGAGTGGAACTCGAGTTGATCAGCAGTTCATCCCCCGTAAAAAAGGTGGAACTGGGCCCAGGTCATGGATCATTGACATGATGACAGCTGGCATTTGAACCAGCTGGCAGTTTGCAGCGGGACCCAAATGGTCTTCCAAGGAGCCATTTTTCCCACCCAGACGCTCCGTTCACAGCTCGACTGGTCCCGAACCAAACCCTAGGGATTGGTTCGGGTCCGGAGCCCTACTGAACGGAGGGTCCATGAGCGTTTGGGCATGTCATCAATGGTCATCATGAGTTCCAGGGAGTGTAGCACCTTCGACTCACCAAATCCCCTGCTTCCGCTGCTTGGAGACTTGCGCACACCGAAGAAAACGAACACCAACTTGTGAGAGGACCATGCTCATGACGACTATATTGTGGTGCTTTCTGGTGCTCTCCGAATTTGAAGAGCTCTTGGAATTTGGACCTGTTTTCCACCAAAAGGCCAAGGTTGGACTCATGAACATCAGCCGCTTTTTGGGTTTCCACGCCCACAGCCGCACATCTGGCCATGGAATTGCAGGCCCTGCAGCACCTCACCGGCCAATCGCTGCTCCAAGGTGTCGAGATGGAGGGGCTGGATGGGGCTGGATGGATACCATGACCTTGGAATAGGTGTATCATAGAACCTACCAAGTACCAGTGTACTACAAACCAAAATAAGTACCAAGTAGCAAGATGTAGCTAAGTAGCAAGTACCAGTCTACCAAGTACCAGCGTACCACAAATGTTCAAACCAGATAGTTTGGGCATCAAAAAAGAAACGCACGCTTATTTAAAGCAGACCGGCATGGGTCTTCACCAACCAAAAGCAGAAAGCTTCTAAAACGGCCATGGGCTTAACGCATGGTTTCCTGGATCTGCCGCTGGAATGCCGTTCTGGAGTTCCTGCGCGACAGGCATCTCTTACTGGACAGAAAAAGAAAAAGATGCTTATACCTGGACCTTCAAGGGGTGTCCAATGGAGGTCCCTTAGTGGTGTAGGGGCTTCCATTGGTGACCCCTTTGAAGGTGCTGGTGTATACTACTAATTTATAGTAATACTGTAATACTATTATATGGAATTCGTGTTGATCGCGTTCAAAGTCTTGTGTGGAACTCCTTTCAAAGACGTGCAAGAGAGTCGGCCCTCGTTCTCGGCCCACGGGGTCAAATCATGTCAAATCCATTGGTGTGGGTCCTGGTAGTAATTACTGACCTCACTGCTTGTCACTATCTTGACAGCTGAATGTGGGCCCATATGAGCCGCCCATATACCCTAGAATCCTAGAAGTCCAAAGACCATTTTAGGGAACAAGAAACACTTTTTCGCATCACTTAAACCCCATGTTCAAGATGGTCTGGCACTCCCAAATTCAAATTGTATGTCTGTCATCTGAAATCGATCTCAGGGTGAGACACCCCTTCCCTCGCACCCTGCGGAATCCCATGCGTGTCGTCCGCCGCGTTTCCGCGGTCTCGTTTCGGCACCTCCCAAGCGGCTGCGCTGCGCCTCCGCGAGGGGTCCAGACACGACCCGTCGACGGGTTCGCACGGCCGAGGAACGGCTAGGCGTGGTGGTGCGGGATGGGGCGCCACCATAGAATCATGGCGTGGGGTGGGATTCACGACCTCGAACTGCTGGTGCTGGAAAAAGGAAACATGACATCCGTGTCGGTGTAGGTAGTTCACGGGTCCTAGTCATAGGTCAGGTCTGGGTCGGAAGTTCCTATCCCACTCTTCATGTTGCTTCTATCCCACTCTCCACCCCTGGCTTCGGCCTCCAGCCGCTTCCCACCCCCGGGAAAAAATGCACCCACAAACAAAAGACCTCTGCCGAGTAGGTGGCAAGACCCGCGAAGAGGGCAAGGCCTGGCAAACGCTCTCCATCCGTCCTACTAGGAACATCTCCTGGACCCATGGGGGAGGTTCGGGGGCTGAACATGTCCAACAGCCCCTGAATCTCTACCACCCAGACGCTCATGGCGTCTGGGCAGGACCTTCCAAGCCTGGTGGTTTTTGGACACCCCGTATCACCTCTAAGACTCTAAGAGGCTTTTGATATATCCACCTCCTTTTTTCGGCTGCTGGTACCGGCCCGTCGCTTGTTCGACACCCCACCACGGGTCATCCATGCATCATGCGGGAACTGCATTCAACGAGCACTTTCTACCAATCCTGGCGCGCGGGAGAGATGTGATGGGGGCTTCACCCCACCTGGATGACCAACAGAGGTTGAACCCGAACGTTCGATCTATCCTACGTACTTCGGTACCCCTGGTTTTCCGGGTCCTAGTAACCTGGTCACTCTCCACCTCTGTTGGGAAGTCACTGGCAAGAGTTCAACGAATGCTTCGGCACCCGAAAGAAAAACGTGTTGAGGAAACTCCCGTCACCTCGCGTCACCCATGGGTCGACCTCCTGGCAAATACCGGGGTCCAGTCGTACCGAACCGACCCGGTACGGTGATGTGTTCGACACATTTGCCGGTGCCCAAACCGTCGGGTGAAGCGTCGTACCGAACCCTGGGGTTCAGTACCAAACCCTGGATCTCGAGCTGGACGTAACCCTTTCGACCCAATTCCTCGAAACCCACGGCCTGGGGAAAACGCACCCGACGCCCCGGTCGTCGAGCCGTCTCGAGCCAGTCCGTGTCGTCGAAGGCAACGGCTTGCTGAACGGTTTGCTGAACTGTGATCTCTTTATCATCGAGTGTTGGAAGTGGCCAAGTGAACCACAAAATCACGGGGGCCACGGGTCCTACATCATCTTGGACTCCAGTCGATGGTCTCTGATGATGGGCGAAGCAACACGTGACCTCGGTGCGTGCTGCTTTTTGCGTGTTGCGAGACATCCTGAGTCTGGGATGAACAAGTTCGTCACCACAGAAGTGCAGCCTCCAAAGGCCCTATCAATGTTAAGAATCTGCATCCCATTGAGCAGTCCGGCTGACGGTGCAGGATTTCGCAGGGAACAATTGAATCCCAGCATTTCGCTACCTGCATTTCCTTCGCTTCGTCACAGGGCTGTTATCGAAGAAACGCTCCGCCAAAGAGCTGCAATCCTGAAACCCAATGTGGGTCACTGAATCGGGGATGCTCAAGCTTACCAACGAGTTGCAATTCTGAAAGGCATAGTGCCCAATGTGGATCACTGAGTCCGGGATGGTCAAGCTTGTCAAGGAGCTGCAGCACTGAAAAGCCCAATTCCCAATGTGGGTCACTGAGTTTGGGATGGTCAAGCTCGCCAAAGAGCTGCAACCGTCAAAGACACGATCCTCGATGTGAGCTACTGAATCTGGGATGCTCAACTCTACCAAAGAGCTGCAATCCCGAAAAGCAGCATCACCAATGTCGGTCACTGAGCTTGGAATGGTCAATTTCACCAAAGAGCTGCAATTCCTAAAGGCATAACGCCCAATGTGAATCACTGAGTCCGGGATGGTCAAGCTTGTCAACGAGCTGCAGCGCTGTAAGGCACAATTCCCAATGTGCGTCACGGAGTTTGGGATGGTCAAGCTCGCCAAAGAGCTGCAATTCTCAAAGGCAGATTGCCCAATGTGAGTCACTGAATCTGGAATGGTCAAGTTCAAAAGAGACTTACAATTCTGAAAGGAACCATTCCCAATGTGGGTCATTGAGTCTGGGATGGTCAAGTTCGCCAAAGAGCTGCAACCGTCAAAGCCGCGATCCCCAATCTGAGTCACTGAGTCCGGGATGCTCAAGTCTACCAAAGAGCTGCAATCCTGAAAAGCAGCATCACCAATGTAGGTCACTGAGCTTGGAATGATCAATTTCACCAAAGAGCTGCAATTCTTAAAAGCATTACGCCCAATGTGGATCACTGAGTCTGGGATGGTCAGGCTTGTCAGCGAGCTGCAGCGCTGTAAGGCACAATTCCCAATGCGGGTCACTGAGTTTGGGATGGTCAAGCTCGCCAAAGAGCTGCAATTCTCAAAGGCAGATTGCCCAATGTGAGTCACTGAATCTGGAATGGTCAAGTTCAAAAGAGACCTACAATTCTGAAAGCAACCTTTCTCAATGTAGGTCATTGAATCTGGGATGGTCAAGTTCGGCAAAGAGCTGCAACCCTCAAAACCGCGATCACCAATGTGAGTCACTGAGTCCGGGATGCTCAAGTCCACCAAAAAGCTGCAATCCTGAAAGGCAGCATCACCAATGTAGGTCACTGAGCTTGGAATGGTCAGTTTCATCAACGAACTGCAATTCTTAAAGGCATTACGCCCAATGTGGATCACTGAGTCTGGGATGGTCAAGTTCAAAAGAGACCTACAATTCTGAAAGGAGCACTTCCCAATGTGGGTCATTGAGTCCGGAATGGTCAATTTCACCAAAGAGCTGCAACTGTCAAAGCCGCGATCCCCAATGTGAGTCACCGAGTCCGGGATGCTCAAGTCCACCAAAAAGCTGCAATCCCGAAAAGCAGCATCACCAATGTGGGTCACTGAGCTTGGAATGGTCAATTTCACCAAAGAGCTGCAATTCCTAAAGGCATAACGCCCAATGTGAGTCACTGAGTCCGGGATGCTCAAGTCCACCAAAAAAATACAATCTCGAAAAGCAGCATCACCAATGTGGGTCACTGAGCTTGGAATGGTCAATTTCACCAAAGACCTGCAATTCTTAAAGGCATCACACCCAATGTGGATCACTGAGTCCGGGATGCTCAAGTCCACCAAAGAGATGCAATCCCGAAAAGCAGCATCACCAATGTGGGTCACTGAGTTTGGGATGGTCAGGCTGGCCAAAGAGCTGCAATTCTTAAAGGCATCACACCCAATGTGGATCACTGAGTCCGCGATGCTCAAGTCCACCAAAGAGCTGCAATCCCGAAAAGCAGCATCACCAATGTGGGTCACTGAGTTTGGGATGGTCAAGCTTACCAACGACCTGCAAATCTTAAAGGCACCTCCCCAAATGTGAGTCACTGAGTGCGGGATGGTGAGGCTCGTCAGAGAGCTGCAATTCATAAAGGCACAGGCCTCAATGCAAGTCACTGAATCTGGGATGATCAATTTAGCCAACTTTGTGCAGCCTTCAAAGGCGCGCTGAGCAATTCGAGTTTCACTGCTGGGAAGTTCAACAACAAGCAACAGTTCTGGGTCAATCTCACTGCTCAAGCTGGCGATTTCATCTTTGTTGGAGCATCTCAATTTGCTGGGTTTGAAGACCGCGGTCACAACAGCACCCTCCGTGAGCCCCACATCCGCCACCGTTTCATCATTGCCCAGCAAATGGTCTCCAACCACAATCTCCACTACAGTAGTTCTGTGAGTCACATCGTCCCAGGTCTGCTGCAATTCTTTGATCTGCTGTTTGAGCTTTCTACCTGTCATGTCTGGTGCCACTTGAAGAGAGATTGACTCTCCATTCACATGTAGTGCTGAGATTCTCATCGTCATCGCTGATCCATGGTCACTCCATTCGGAATGTTTCGTGATCTTGTTGTCAATGCCAGCCAAAGTTGCTTGGATTGGGTATGCCCAGACTACTGTTGACACTCAACAAGACACGCATTATGTCAAACACACACACAAAAATAAAAATAAACAAAAAAACACATGATATATACTATACCACATCTGCCGTTTGCTGCGAAAGGCCCCCTCCTTTGGGCCAAACACCGCGAGAGCTCTGAGCGACCCAGCAGGGCTCGGCGGACTAAACCCAACTCGATCGGAACACAGTGAAGCCACCACGGTCATCCAGCCACGCGCTTCCTTCGGTTGGGCTCCGTCCCCGGCAGACCGACAGGTGGGGTGAAAAGCGGTTGGAACTGGAACCCACCGGAGGGTGTTCCACAAATCCCTCCAAATCCATCAGGCTCTGTGGTTTTCTTCGCAATCCCAATCATCCGATGGTCCCAACTGACCCAGGAATACATCCACGACCTCCATGTTTGACCCAGCCCTCCTCGCCTTTGCTCCGCGCGCTGCGCGGACACGGCGAGGACGGCGGTGACCACCGCGCGGTGCGCGCGAGGACGGGCACCGCGCGGTGAGGACGGCGGTGAACGCCAGAGCTCACAGTGGGCAGCACAGCCCAGGTCGCCATGGAGCGGTAGAAGAGAATCCCAAAGGAACTGGAGGACTATCCAAGGCAGGCTGTGGTCCATGAATGACCCCTCTTAAGAGATCTTGATGCGTTTGTGGCTTCTTGGATTTCAATGTCCAGGGTGTCTTTTTTCTTTGCCCCTGGTGCTTTCAGGATGCGCATGGCACATATCGACCAAGGCGGGCAGACATCCTGCTCACGACCAACAGGTTGTGATGATCTTCTTGAGGACCGTTGGCACAGATGTCACTTGGTCAGCTTGGATTTGTTGATTCAAGAGTCATCCACTCATCGATCGAACACGTTGTGGGACATCAGGATCGGATCTAATTATCTTATAGTATTAAATAGGTGGTCTTGCAGCTGAAACAGTGCATCTGGTAGACCTCTCTGGCTACGAAAATAAGAAAGAAAGGCTGAGACAGGTCATGTATGTCAGTAGCCACTAGTTGCCGTTGGTCTTCATGCCATCGCCGTCCAAGCTGCAGCCATGACCGGAGGACAGGAGGAAATGATCAAGTAAGAACCTTGACCTCAAGCACTGGTACATAGTACCCACCCCAAACCACCCACAACTGCTAGAAGCGCATGGAAAATTCAAGTTGTATCCCCTTCCCATTATAGATCTCGGTAGAATAACGTTCAATGTACAGTGAAGCTAGACCCATCAATTCAATGAAACTTCGCAGCAGCCCTGCCCTGCCCATCCTCCACAGCGAGAGGGCAACAGATCCTTCATTCGATGGCTAGGTGGCTAGGTGGATCCCTAGTGCTTGACGATGTGTTCGAGACCCAAGCAGCAGCAGCAGCAGCAGCAGCAGCAGCAGCCGCTTCTTTTCGCAGCCCGCCGCAGCCGCAGCAGCTATTTACCCAAACACGACCGCCATCTGGGGCTGGCAAAGGACTGCATACACTTGGGCTGCTTGGCTTCAGGGGTCTTTCTGGGGCGGCAGATGTGGACATGTCTTCCAGTCGCCTTGAGGTGTCTATAGCTGCTGGGCTTCTGAGTGAAACACCGCTCCGGGTCCGGTTCGGGTCCGGCTTCCGGGTCCTGCGGCCTAGCTAGATCCAGGAGAGAGTCAATACATGTCAATACACCAAAAAGTCTTTTTAATATCATCTCTACCAGCACCGACTTCACAGGTCACCAATTGAAACCTGTGCACGGGCCTTTCCCAACCCATTTCGGAGACCTGGCAGGGAAAGTGCTGGTACCTTCCGAAATCACCCATGCAGTGGTTTTTGGAGACCCCCACTCACCGTGCTGGCAGCAGTGTCTCAGGTCTCAGGACCGGAATCCTTCAGGTGCCGAAGTGGCTGCCCACGATGGCGCGGGTCTCCCGGTAGTTGGGATTCCCGTCCTTGGGAAAGTCACGGATCCTCAGCTTGAAATACCTCAGCCCGGGCGACTGCTCCGCTACTGCTCGGGTGCAGCCGCTGCAAAGAAGCGAGGTGGGAAGAGCGGCTGCTGAGGCACATGAACGGGTGAGTCCAGGAAGAGCACCCGGATCGGATCTCTTCGGTTCTTCACACTGTATGGGGCCTGGGCATCTGCCATTGGGCTAGCGGCTAGCTGATTTCATCGATGAAGATGAGTTCACCCTTGAGGGGTCTGGAAGAGCTAGGTGTTCAAGTCATGTGGGCGGTGGATTCATGTCTGGGCAACGGAATCTGGATGAATAGTTCTGGACCAAGAGAGGTTTTTCACAGCCCTAAGGTCGCCCATCCCATATGTACCACTACAGGGTCCTAGTTCAGGTCTCTCAACCTCTCTTGGTATATCTTGACCAACCCGGACCGTTGATGGCTTGATTGCAGACATCGGGTCCTGTAGTGACCTGTGAAGGAGAACGTCCCGGACTTGGACGAAGGGACCGCGGGCGACGATGGACTTAGACCTATCGCCAACACGGCCCTGTCTGGGACTGGAACCAACAGAGGTGGATAGTGACCTGAACGAGCCGGACCCGTCACCTATGGGGTCATAGGACTAGGGATATAGGACCTTACTGGGTAAGTGACCTATAGGTTGCTGATCCCTATAGGACCTTATACTGGGGTACCCAACTGGGAGTTCGTCGAACGTTCGGGTTCTTCAACCCACCTCTGTTGGATGTGCGCCCTGGTTTCGTCCAGGGAAGACCATGTTTCAGTTCCGCTCCGAGGAGTTTTGGTGGGTCCCAGTGAGTGATTGAATTGAAGGTCCTGGACAACACCTGACCAGCAGAGGTGGGTCAGAACCCGAACGAACTCGATCTGTCCTAGTTAGGTACCCCTGGTTTTCCGGGTCCGGCTTGACCTGGTCACTCTCCACCTCTGTTGGGAGAAGGTGGTGCCCTTCTAAGAGTCACTGGACGACTTCTGCCAGTAGTTTCAAGACGACCGACACTTCTGGTCCGGAGTCAACCTCTTCCCCCTGGAGTCGGACGGTCAGTTCAAACGCCCCCTTCCATGAACACCCGAGCTACACACCCGAGCTACAGTCCACCTTGACCCCTGAAACCTGGCCTTTTCTGCGTCCAACATGGTCCCTGAAACCTGGGTCCTACCACCTTCTCCTGCGGAAGATGGGCCGTTCCGAGCCCCCCTTTTTTAGGGGATTGTATGTCCAGGTCGTCGTCGTTGGACGTGATTGGACTGGGACCTGGGGTGATGTAGAGTTGGACCTAGAGTTTCTACATCCATCGCCAGCGTGCTGACACTGGGCCCTGGAGGTCCGGACCCAGGTGCCCTGGAGGTCCGGACCTGGAGACCTGTAAGTAAACTCGAAGGCCAGGACACCCATGTCCAGGATGACCCTGGCTTGCTTGTTGGATTGGTGTCACCATCAATGGCAAGTCCATATATCATCCACCCTTGGCCTTTTGGGTGCTAAGGAGATGTGTTCTAACATGTTCTAAATATGTCTAAATAACCTTAAGAGAGATTCTTAAGAGATCCAGCACCAGGGAAAGGGTGATACCCACTGATGGCCCCTTAGAGGTGATTCGGGGTGTCCATCAACCACCCCTTGGGGGTCCAGGATCAGGTCCATCCCCCACCCGTACCCCACGGTCCTGCCACGACCCGGACGGTTCGGATGGTTCCCAGCGGCGTGGCGGTGCGGATCATCTTCAACATGTCCACGCGGTGAACGTACTCGATCTTCTTGGAATTCCTCAAAAACCAAACACCTCCCGTCAGCTGAAGTCAGCTGGCTGAAAAGATCTGGATTTGAACGTGACACATGCTGACACGTTGATTTTCCCAGGGATTTTCGACCGGCGGAGCGAACACTAAGTGTTCACTTCCCGGTTCTTCAATCTGACAATACTTGATCCCCTGGCTTTGAGGTCCTGGTTAGGACTTAGGACCCTCTCCCCAGACACGACCTGTGTCCATGGAAGAGGCCATACTCGCACACATTGGGGTGGTTGATTTCAGGAGTCCAGTCAATGTACACTCCGAAACATATCGCATGGAAGTGGGAAGAAACAAACCTATTTGAAAAGAACAACAGTCTTCCTCTCGGGACCATGCCATGCCACATTCCAGCACCCGAGACCGACCTGCCAGGTCACCTCACCAGGTCCACTGACTTTTAAGATCTCCATTTCAGCTACCAAGGACCAAGCGGAGACCTGAGTCTTTGGTCTTCGGTCGGGTGCTGGTTCCATGCGATGTGCTGGTGCTTAGCTTCGGTCGCCTCGTCGCCGTCCAGGGACCTGAGACATGGACCTGCTCGTGTCACCTTCCATCCGAGCCCAAACACCGGTTAAAGAAACCAATCCCCGCAAACACGGTTTGTTTATCCAGAAGCTCCATGTACCCTATAGACTTCCACCAGTAAAACAATGGTTGACCTGGTTTTTGTAGTGTAAAATCCTTAGTTGATTCGGTAAAAGCCTAGGGTGTATATATTCCGATCAGGCCAGGGGTGGTGCCAGGGGGGCCAATCCCCCAAAAACGGTTTATAAGGTTATCCACTTGTCCTGGGAACACGGCATTGGCAGGGCCGCAGTTTGAAGCCGAAACGAAGCCCAAAAGCTGGGCGAGCTGAGGCAAAAAACCGCCCACCAAGCACCGCCCACCAAGCTGGGCGAGCTTTGAGCCCCCCCAAATCCTGCCTGAGCTGTGCTCACCACGAATGTACAGCGATGGTGCCATTATGTGCCATTCGATGACAGCAACACTCTTCTATGATATTTTTGCAGTTGGCGAAGAAAAGACACGTGACAATTATTAAAGAACGGCATCCTCCAAATGCACGAGTCCCAATGTGTGTGACAGAGTCCGGGATGCTCAATCTTGCCAATTTGCAGCAATTGTGAAAGGCTTGGTCGCCAATGTGCATCACAGAGTTCTGAATGGTCAAGTTTACAAGAGAGCTGCAACCTGCAAAGGCACTTCTCCCAATGTGGGTCACAGAGCCCGGGATGGTCAAGTTCACCAAAGACCTGCACCCTAAAAAGGAGTCAGTATGAATGTGGGTCACTGAGTCTGGGATGGTCAAGTTTACCAACGACCTGCATGCCGCAAAGGCCCCCTCCCCAATGTGAGTCACTGAATTCGGGGATGGTCAGGCTCGCAAGCTGCAATTCATAAAGGCATATAGGTCTCAATCCATCTCACCGAATCTGGGATTATCAACTTTGCCGGCATCGCGCAGCTGTTGAAGGCCCTGTCAGCGATTCGAGTTTCATGGATTGGGAGTTCAACGACGAGCAACACTTCTGGGTCAATCTCACTGCTGCGGCTGTCAATCTCATCTGTGCTAGAGCATCTGATTCTGTTTGGCTTGAAGACAACGCTCACAACATCACCTGCAGTGACCCCTACATTCGCCAGCGTTTCATCCTTGCTGAGCAGGCGGTGTCCAACAATGATGTTCACCCCAGTTCTGCTTCGTCTCCTCATCCCAGGTGCTACCTGCCTTTGATCTGCTGCCCTTCGCTCTCTACCGGTCTCTACCTCGGCGGGTGACTTCTGGGCGAGCCAAATCCTCGCCGTTGACCTGACATACAGGTCAATCCTCATGGAGCCGCCCGGGCTTCAAAACCAGTCCGGTGGGGTGCCCTCGTGCGACCGAGGCGCTTCTTGTCCAACCAGGAGCGCCGGCGCCGGTTCCTGGCGGTTTCAGCCGGCGGAAGTCCCATAGAATTGGGGACCCAAGCCAGTCGTGGCCCACCATTGTAATAGCCTGAATACCCAAGCACCATTGTTTTACTAAGGCTTTACAAAACCAGATCGTTCCCATAAAACCTGGTCTTCGTCCCGACTTTCAGGGCTCCCTACGCTATCCTCCCACCCACCCACCCACCCGCGCCGTGCGCCCACCCGAGCGGTGGACGGAACCTTCGGCCCCCCCGCCCCGGGCCACCGCGCCCGCCACGGAGCCGCGCGCGGCGGCGCTCCCAGCCGAAGCGACTGAGGCGGAAGGTCTTCAGCACCTGCAGACGGCGCGGTCGGGCGACCGCGGTCGAGGGCCGCGAGGGAGGGCAGGGCAGGGCATGAGGTTGAGAGACCGCTGAACGTTCGGACCCCATAGTGGTACGTATGGGATGGGCGACCTTAGGGCTGTGAAAAACCTCTCTTGGAGGGCAGGGCATGTAAAAAACGGTGGTGAAACCAACACATGGAGTCCATGGAGGATGTGGGTCGATGAACATATGGAGTGGACCAGAAACTCTTGGAGCAGCACCATCCAGCACAGCTGCGTGGTCAGACCTGCACAACGAAGCCTTATAGGAAGTCCTTATACCTCCTCAAGTCATGTTTTTGTATGACCAACTGACCAACTCCAGTAAAATGAGGTTATTGACCTGCAGGGAAGGGGTGCTGGCTGGCACCAGCAGGTCCATCATTATGTAGTTGGAAATACCCTTGCATGCCAGAACTCCATGGACTCTGGTGGTTTCAGTTGAATCCCCACGTTGTCCATGTACTGCCAGGTGTGCCCCCCCAATGACCTCTGACGTCCAAAGACTCACTGCCTATTGGAAGTGTCCATTGAGGTCCAGCTCCAAAATTAAGACCAGGTGGCCTCCCACTTGCCTTAGTTTCCTATACGAAATCCAAGCCACACTCCCACACTTCATTTGAAGTCAGCGCTCCAAATCCTCTCCTTACCAACCAAAAGACCTCCCCCCTTCCTACGTCCGACCCCCTCCGACCCAGCGTGACCCCCCTAAGGTGACCCCGCCACGGCACACCGGACACCGCCCGCGCCACACGACAGGTCCCGACACCGGTCCGCGCACACACCGCCTCCGCATGGTTGCGGTTCTTGGTGGTGCGCTGCTTCGTCTCCACCTCCAACACCTGGCGAATCGAAAACCGGCGACCAGCAACCGGAACCGGGCGGTGCTGAGCAGTGGGGACAGTGCCAAAAGCACCGAACTCCCCCCACCATCGGTCCCAGTCGCTGTACCCGAGTCCGAGAGGTCCCGAGAGGGAGCCTCCGATCGGTGAAGGTTTGGGGTTGTTTTGGTACCAACCTACCAAGAGAGGTTTTTCACAGCCCTAAGGTCGCCCGTCCCATATGTACCACAGACCAGGGTCCGAACGTTCAGGTCTCTCAGCCTCTCTTGGTAGGTCCAAACAGGTCCTTGGACCTCTCCAGTTCGGAGGGTCCAATGATTCGTATAGGTCTCATGGGTGATGGATGGTCTCATGTGGGCCCCACCCCTAGCCTTTTTGGGGCTCCGTGCCACGGCCGCCCCCTTTCGTGTGGGTTCGATGGGACAGGGGTGGGTGGGTGGTGCCAAGGTCCAACCACCTGACAACCTGACGGGCCGAGAGCCGAGCCGTGGCGTGGGGATCATGTGTGTGACACATATCGAAACACCTTCATGTATACCCGGGCCGTTGAAACCGGGGGTCTCGAATCAGAGGTGACTCGGGATGTCTGTTCACCATCCCGGGCTCCAGGGGGCCTTGGTATATGGTAGTATGTGGCTAATCTTCTACCTTGCCTTTACACTGCATGTTAGATCAGTCACATTAGGGTCACCTGAAGAGACACCACCATGCACTCCACCGGTACTGCCACCGGTGTTTTTGAGGTCTTTCACTAAGCCAAGGCCGAGCCACATTCTTCTTGATGCGTGGCCAGTTGATGACCTTCTGAATGTTGTACCTCTCATTGTTTCAATCGGCCAAACGCGGCCAACGACCTCCTGGCCCCCCCTGGCCCAAACAGACAGGGAACCTCAACCCAAAAAACCATGGCAGAAAGAACAACTGGAGGTTAGGGGTGCCCATTATCCACTCACTTGGGGACTAAACACCACCCCTTTGTGACCCCTGGTGGTGGGTTCTTTTTCCCTTTCGACTCCTTAGACCCATATTCCGGCTCATTCCTCCCGGTCTCCGGTCAGTCCCCCGCCTCTCCGGTGCCCCCCGTCCTCGGTGTTCCACCCGTCCTCGCTCACTTCGCTCGGGCCGCGCCCAACGCGCGCGCGCGCGACCGACCGGGACCGCCGCGGCACGTGCGGAGCTGCAAAGGGCTGAACGGGGAGGTCCGGCTCAGCTCCCGCGGAGCAGACCTGGAAGGATGGACGACCCGAGGCGAAGAGATGAGGCCAGGACGACCCGTTTTGAGGAGGATAGGGAGAATGGAGGATGGGGAGGATGGGGAGGATGGAGGCAGAGGCAGTGCCGAAAGGGACCCCACGGAGCGCATCGTGCGGCCTCTCGGTGGTCTTACTAGTATAGCTTCTTATAGTTACTATAGTATAGCGATGCCAGGAGCGATGTCGAGCGTATAGAGTAGCGTCCTTGCTCCGCTGTGAGGCCGAAGTGTTTGGGGAGAAAATGTGGCACCACCCAAAGATAGCAACACCTCGTCTGGACGGTTCCTTTGGCAGAACATCCAGATGCTCGGGTCTGTTCAGACAGTTGGACTCCCAGCAAAATAGGTTTTGTCATAGGCTAGCATGACCTGATTTCACTCCTTTTCAACACCTCAACCACCCCTACACTGTATAGGCAAAGACGTCGGGGCAAAGATTCCTGTTTGGATTGGGACGCAGAACATCTCTGAACCCCGCCATCTCTGACCTTCTGGCCGCGCCGAACGGTGCCGTTGCCACGGTGCCGTGAACGGTGCCACGGTGCCACGGTGCCACGGTGCTGGGACCCCGCGCATGGAGGCGGTGCCCAGCCGCGCGGGGCTCGTGTCCACGAGTCTCAACGGTCTCAACGAGAACCGGCGGGTGAGAACGACGGGTGAAAAAGAAATAGAAAGTCTTCTGGAATAGAAACAAGGAAAGCGAAGACAACGGCATAGAACATGATCGAACAACATCTCCCCAGAAGCACTGGAAAAAAAAAATTGGGTTCCGCCTCACCTGCTGGTGCTAAGCTTCAAGGATTCTTGGGGGAAAAACGAGGCCTCACATCTTCCGGCCTCACCAGCGAGGCCAGCGGCGCCACCCGTGGCGTGGTGCCGAGACACCCAGCACCGCCTGATGAATGCGACAGGGGGATCAACGAGGAATCCGACCCGTCGCCTTTTTCATGCCTTTTCTCCTATCAGGTCCACTTTGACCCAGGTTAAAAACCTGGCCCATTTTTTTTTGCCCTGAAGACTTCAATAGAGGGAGTTGGCCCATCCTGGCCCTATTCAGTTCCATTGAGTATCGGCTTTTCGATGACCAACTCCCAGGAGGTTCAGGTCGCACTGACTCTGCAGCTCCCAGGGTCTTTGAGGCCGCCGGTCGCCGAACGGCGCCGGCGTCGCCTGGTCGACCCAGGCGGCTGACGGCCCTGCCAGGCCTCCCCAAACGAAGCAGAACGAAGCAGAAGACCGGTCGATTGGGTCGATTGGAGACGATGAGATGAGTTGAGATGAGTTGCGTGGGAAATGGTGGAGCCTATACCCTAGGAGCTTCCAATGTCCAGTGGTTTCTGGGCACCGGACTTGTCAACTGAAAAAACACCTGCTGGAGGGTCCAGGTAGATAGATGGATGAGGTGAGCAACGATCGTAAAAACCTTCTGAAGAGATGAGAAGGTATTGTGCTTTCGTAACATATACCCTAGCCTTCACAGACCATTAAAAGAACGGTTGAGTTGGTGGTGTAAGAATCCTTTGTGAAACAAGGGTTCTTTGGTAAAGACCATAACAAAACAATGGTTAATTGATTGAATCCTATAGGGTATACATACTATTCATGTGCGTGTGATTAAATTGCTTGTCCACCTGGGGGTATGATCTTGGAAGAATAAGAACTCCACTTCCAAGTTCTTCCTCGCCCTTGAAGCGCATCCTGCCATCTTCAGCCCCTCCTCCTCCCGATTCTTCATGCTTCTTCCGGTAGCGGAGTCGCCGGAAGAACCCAGCGTGTCTGGCCCCCATCTATACCCAGATCATGACGGTTTTTGATGTTCTTGGCAGATGTACGCCATTCTTTACATGGGTGGTGGTGGATTCATTGACCCCCGGACTCTTTCGAAAGGGGCAAAATGGACGTCCGACGTCACGTGCTCGTCGTGCGGTGCTGAGTGGAACCCACCCGCTCCACACCGGCTCGGAGTTCCACCGGCGTGTCGGGACGAGTGCGGAACGAGTTCGGCACCTGAAAAGCCACATGAAGGGCACCGAACACCACGCCAGTTCTCCAGTTCGAGTGACTGGCTCCAGTGGAGAACACTGAGAACGTGGTCAGACTGACGTCATGGCGAAGGCCGGAAGAAAGACCCTGTGGTGAACCTATTTCTCCTGAGTGTTGGGATGTGTTGGGAAAAATCTTGAAGATGTTTGGAAGTCCGTAGTCTTTGAATCTCGGAACCAATGGCTCTTTGCAAGACTTGTAGGTTGGGGCAGTAGTTTTAGATCCTCATATCACAAGGCAACAAAATGGTGCCTGAAGATCCTGAAGACATCTTCTAAGCTGTCATGCGCTGTGGACAAAGGATCTGATAAGCAAAATCAGCCAAGCTCGCTCCATATCTGAAGTCCAAGACTTATACATTCTCGCCTTTTCTCCTTGATTCTGAAACTTGCACGAGGAGTCCACGGTTCACTCATGGCCCCCCCCCAAAAGGACGCCTATGCATGTGGCAAGTCACTTCAGACGCGAAATGCAAGTCGTGAGAAGCATCACACGAGAAAGCGGATTGAACCCGGACTCCAATGCTAGGCATCCAATGAAGAACGGAGTCTGTCCGCATCCCGCCAGGCGAACAACAAGGAGGGGGACGCGAGGCGAAGCCTGGTGGGGGCAGATCCCATCCGCCCAGGATCTGAAGCAACTTGCTGAGCACCGCCAACGGAAAGCCCCCTACCCACCAACTGGCCGCTTCAAGCTGCACAGGCCCTGTTCGCCCTGCTGTTCTTTTTTCGGGCGCTGCATGCGTTCTTCGGTGTTCCGACACGCCATCTCCTCTGTGGATCGGAGAGACAGTGGTTGTGTCGCGTCCCGAGCGGCAAAAGCAATGTTGGAATTCGGAAGATCTGAGCTGCGCGGAATGTTTTTTGAAAGCGAAGTAGAGGATCTTTGTGCACTATATACTGTACTATACCAACTAAGCTTCCCGGAATTGATGATAATCTTAGTTCATTTCTATCACGGATGATCGATGTGCAAATCAGTTGCCCCTCCATATCCCAGACCATCATGGGACTGGCATATGCTTACATTGACCCCCTTTCAACACCCCAATGTAGGCAATGAATGGCAAATGGGTCATACATGGTCCAGGTCCACCTTTCGAGGGCTTGCAGCACCATTTCTGGCATCCTCACTGCCCCAAAGAGATCTCCACCATCGCTCGAGACGGTGCAAGAGATTACCACCATCACTTCGACTGACCATCTTCCGGCAAGACTGTTTGGCTCCGACGATCGCCATAGGATGGCATGCGCTGGAAGGTTAACCAGGAACCTGAAAAGCCACTGCCAAGACGTACAGGGGAAAGGTCATCCACCACAGGGTGCCAAAACCACAGGATCCATACACTACTAAGGGACCTCCATTGGACACCCCTTGAAGGTCCAGTGTGACGTTTATAATAACCAGTTCTTCAGTAAAAAAGGAGCCATCGCAGAATCATTCCACGTAACGGTTCCGTCCCCGCTACATCGTATGAAAACATAAGTTTTTGAGCGGAAAACCTGGCTTTCGTTTCTGGGTAGCAGCCACTTTTCTCCACAGGTTGTTCAGGCTTCAAAATCCTTAGGCATCCTCCTCTTCAGAGATCCTTGAGATACCCAGCATCCCAAGGACCTCTGCAAGCGCTGCAATGAGTGACCTCTGCAAGGTCCTAGTGACAGCAAGTTGCACTGAAACCCGTCTAGAAATGTGACAGCAGGGCGACCAATAAAATCCAGACAAAAATCCAGCCATGCATGTCAGTACATGTGAGCTACTCAATCATCAACAGGGGGGTTGGGGGGATTCAAGAGTCCTTATGACTTCTTACTGGATGGTGTTTTTGATGAAGAACCCGGTAGGGAGACCCCCAACCAATGGGTCTTGGTCATTCTTGGTCTATGTTCCAAATCTTCCAAAACAGGAGGTCTCCGGATTTTAGTACACACCCATGTCAATTCTCGGGATGTGTGGAGTCTCTCAAGCACCCCATGATCAACTGCCCGGCACATGCCAGTCCCGACCAGCACCAGACCCCCGAACCGGACTTTAAGGAGTCCGGTGACGGGTCACCGAAATGGGGACATCGGATGAAAGACCGGGAGCAGCTCCGAATCACAGCTCAGATGTGCAAAACTCTTGAAGCAATCTGCGGGGGGTCCAACTGACGGTCCAACTGACGAAAAGTGCCTTTTTCACACAGGATGGATGGCACAAACAGCATCTGCAGTCATGAAGGGAGGCCGACGACCCAAACCAAACTGCTTATGCTTGCAGATGGTTCTTCAGAGTCCCGATTCTAGGGCTTGGAGGAAAAAATAACTATAACAGACCACCTAGGACTCCCACCCCAAGGCTGCTGGTACTACTGCACACCTGCACACCTTCCTTGCTTTCTCATATGGGCTTGCGGCTTGTGTTTTCCATATAGAGAGAGAGAGAGAGACCTCTCAACCGGATTTAGCCTGATGATTTCGGTCTGATTGAATCTGTTTCACACAGACCTTCCGAGGAACATACCCCGGGCCATCCCGAGGTGCGCTCTGACCCAGAACTTCCGTGACTTGGTTCCTGAAGAATGCATCACCTGACGTCATCAGAAAATACTCCACAAGTACAGAAATGTCCAGGGCCCAGACGGTCAGTCTGGGGCTGTACCCTCATCCTCGGGTCGGGGGTCCGGACCCCCAAATCCCCAATGGTGTTGACCGGAAGGCCTATTTGGAGCGTCTGGGGGGTAGTCTATGAGTCCTGACTAAACTTCTTGGGTCAAGTCTTCCAACTCCCGAATCAACCGACGTCCCCGTCCCATCTTGCATCCGCTTTCGGCTGTGTTGGAAAGCACCTCACTAAAACAAGCCAAACTTGGAGTTGCTTCAAGCTAAACTTGGCACCAAAAAGTACATATCCTCCAAGAGGTGTCTATAAATAGCATCTTAAAATATCTTATATAAGAGTCTTAGAGGTGATTCAGGGGTGTTCAAAAACCGATGTTCCTGGTATCTCAGGGTCATTTGAACAGGGATCTGTTGATGGATTCCCTCAAATAAAAGGATCAATCCTACCAGCTGAAGAGAAGTCTCATCCGATCGAACCAGCGACCTGCTGGAGAAACGACCTGCTGGAACCCCCACTACGGCCGCGAAGAAAACGGCCTGTCCGAGCTACTACGCCCCGCGGACCAACCTGTGGGAGTTTCAAGACGAGCTTGGCAGGAGGATCTTTCAGACTTCCCAATCTATGACTTTCAGATGTGAAGAGATGAAGGGGGGGGTCTGGGGTGCGTCAGAATCAGATCGTGTCACGGGAACCTGCTGGTATAGAGATACGTCGAGTATACTGCATACTTCAGCACCACGCAGTTTGTGTTGAGTTCGACCCCGCCGACGAGGTATTGTCTCTCCAAGATCCACCCGAAATGGGTGGTGCTTTTCCCCATGTGGCGATCAGTAGTGAAGACCATGATGCTCAGTAATCCTGAATCAAAAACGAGAGATCAGCCTAGGCCCTTCTCCAATGTTTCAAGGGTCGGGACCCCTGAGATGGAGACTTTTTCGGTAGAGATTTCGTCCGACCCCGACTCCATCGAGGGTTTTTCAGGGGTTCTGAGAGCAAGCACAAAATAGTCGATATAGGTCCAACCAGTTGCGTCGGTTGGGTGCTATCCATGGAGGAAGTCGGGGTGCCCCCGTGTGACTAAGCTGACTAAACACAACACCGATATGGTGACTCCTGGATGTTGCGATCCATTCGGCATCGAATCCCAGAGCTAGCTCTTTCTTTCGACCGAACCGTCCAAAACATCTGGAAATACAATCCGTCTCAACGACTCCTGGGTATATAATCAAGAGTCTATCATTAGCTCGCTTGACTCGCATGGGTTGGTGTGTGAACTCACGGCACATTCCAACTCAGTCTTGATGCTCCGACTGCGGGCGCGCCGCAGGCGCCCCGTTGGTGGCGTCTTCCCGGGGTCCGTGGCGCTGGATCCCCAGCAAAAGCCGCAAGAAGTTCAAGCTCTCCACGTGGCAAATCGCCTGAGTTGGAAGGCTGAGGCTCGGAAGGTATGAAAATTCATGGCACCAAGCAGCTGCGAAAGCTGATCTTGTTACTGCAAACCACCCTGCCCCCACCTGGTTGGCAAAAAAATGCAAACACGTCAACAGATTGGTAACTAATCCAACCAAAATCATGGAACAGGAAACCGAAACCATCTTGTTCACCAATTGTTCATCCCAAAAAAAAAGAATGGGGTTTCCTGTCAATGCTCCACCTGCCACCATGTTTGATCGAAGTGCGAAGGGCGCGTTTCTTCATGCTCCACCGAACGATCATGCTCGGCTCCAATGCTTCAGGCGGCCCATGCCAGCGTGGCGGTGGGCAAGATATCGGTGAAGGGCAGAAACTCTTCCAACGCTCCCAGGGAGGACACCTCGCTGCAGCGTGGGAGTGGAGACTGGACCACCAGTCGTGACTCCAGCTGGAAAAACATGACGGGGAGAGCTGCGTTGAAAGCTTTTCAGGAAAGAATTCTCCAATTCTGTTCCCAGACACTCCATGTATGCCATATATGCCTACATTGGGGTGGTTTTGGGGGTCAATGTAGGCATATATGGCAGTCCCACGGAGTGTTTGGGGTTTGAAGAAACCAGCAAAGATATGCACCGACTTCGGGTTGTCTTTCCAGTTTGCGCCCGACTTATGGTCGACCCCTCGGGGTTCGGCGGACACAGGTCTCGGGACGGAGCGGAATCGAGCCTCCAAGCGGAGAGCCTTTGAACCCCGGACCATGAAGTTCAGGAGGCGGCAAGTGGCGCACACCAGAGGTGGAGAGTGACCTGAACTAGGACCCGGAAATACCTGGGGTAAGAGAGCTGCAATTATGAAAAGCAGCGTTCCCAATGTGAGTCACTGAGTTTGGTCTGCATGGAATTGAAGTCTGAATGCAATCGTTTCATCTGAAAGCGGACACTAAAGGAGAGCATCGGGCATGGCTTTTGTGGAATATCTTCTCAATGTCAATCAACCAGGACCATCCAGTGAGTGGATGTGACAGGGGCGCCCCGACTTCCTCCCAGTTCGGCACCCCGTCGAACGTGACTGCTGGAATGCTAACCTCCTTTGGAAACCAGTTCATATCAGCAGTTCCATGTCGGGGTTCTGCTCACTCAGTCGGGTGCCTAGAGCAGAACCTCCACGCCCCGAAAGACTCCGCCGACGCCCGGGGCGCACCAGCAAGCTCCCAAAGAAGTACCTGACGGAGCGGCCAACGCGGGGAGACGGGAGCGGCGCAGGGAGCCACGGAGCGCGGGGATGCGGGCGAACAAGCCGGGTTTCTTCGATCGAGCACGAGCGTGGGACAACGCGCTGGTGCCAATGGGTACGATCGTTGAAAGTGAGGATCGTCCTCAAGTCGACTCAGCTTGGTGGCGCTTCAAATGGCCTCGTCTCGTGCCGAAAAAGAGAGGCAAACACATGCAAAAACGGGCGCTTGAGGACATCTTCCTATATAGAGTTGAGGATCGGTTGAGACTTGTGGAAGGAGAAAACGGGAGATTTTGGGACCGAAAACGTCTCAATTTCAGAGCGAGTGGAAGCTTGAAGGAACGAGAAACAGGAGAAGAGAGCAAAGGAAAAGGGAAGGGAATCCCTGGGAGTCAAAGACTATAAAAAGAATAGTCTTTAGGTGACACGAAGAGGAATGTCCTTTACTTCAGTCAGTCAAAATATAGTCTTTGGACTTCTAGGGGAATGGCAAGTTCAGGAGAGGAGAGAACCTGGAGAGGTTGAACAGCCCGTCTGGTCGCCCATCCCATATGTACCACAGACCAGCGTCCTAGTTCAGGTCTCTCAACCTCTCTTGGAAGATGTGAAACCATGAATACCTGGACCTTCAAGGGGTGTTGAATGGAGATCCCTAAGTAGCTAGCGGGCTGGGGCCTGCAGCCTGCCAGCCAGGTGACCCGAACAGAAGGTGCAAGAAACATCTGGAAAACAATTATTGCAGAGGTGCGAAAAAAACGATGGAAAACGTCTTCGAGAAAGCTTCTTATTCATTCACATGGTCTACGTCTACAGGTTGGTTTTGGACGTGATGAAAGAAGCGCGCCCCAACTTGGAGGGCGAAGAAATTCTCCGAAGGCTCCTTGTCGATTGGCCCAATTCAAGGAATGCGCTCAGATTGCTGGATCTTCACATTGATGGGTAGCTTCCCTGATCTCCCAAGGCTTCTCGGCTGATCTCTGCATCAGCCAATCACCCCCCATTGAACTGAACCCAAACACTCCATGTATGCCACATATTTGCCCACCTTGGGGTGCTTTGCGGGGTCATCCTCGAGACGCAGCAGAACTCGTCGCCGCGTCGCGAGTCGCCGCGCCTGGGGTGTGCGGGATCCGATTGGGGAACGGCTGGAGGTGTCAACACCGGGGGGGGAAGAAGGTGTGCTCTTCACGCAGCGTGCTCTTCGGCGCCACCTGGGGAGAGTCCCCGAGCCACCGGCTGCCGAAGAAGGGCCACAGCCGTCGGTGACACCTCCGTGTCCAACATCCGCAGGTCCACGCGACCCGGACCTGGGACTGGAAGATAGGACTGCCTTCATTTCACGGCCGATGGGGTGGTGCCAGACAGGTCAGACTCTGGGGCGGCAGAACGGACTGGCAGACCCAGACAGGTCGTGTCTGGGTACTTCCTGACATGAGTGAGCTGTATAGGATGAGGAGCCACACAGAGTGAGCGGTATTTTTCACCACACCATAGAGTCCAGAGCAGAGAGAGGCCGAAGAAGCGCAGAGAGGCCGAAGAAGCGCAGAGACTCTGGATCCACAGAGTGAGCTGTCACAACCCTCACTTCTGCTGCCCATGAAGTAGAAGGCCTGGAATCCTCGATCTTCATCCACGTCGAAGGCCGTCCTTTTTGGGGCAATTTGGCCCTCCATTTCTTCGAAGAAGCCTCCTTCCAAGAGAGGTAGCCAGTGACCTGAACTAGGACCCGGAACTACCTGGGGTACCCTACTGGGATAGTCGAACGTTCGGGTGCTGGCCCACCTCTGCTGGTTGGCCATTGGACCAAGACCCTCAATCCCAGTCCCGCCAGGTGGGCCCAGGCCCCCAGGCTGCAGCAAGAACCCGGCGATGGGCGCCCACATCAAATCTCCAACCTCCACAGAACCGCGACCCGCACGGATCCACGGCGGGGTGCGCAAAACGCACGGAAGTCAGTGCTAGTGGGGGGGGTGAGAGAAGTGTTCCATGGGGAGTGGGAGCCCCTGCAAAAGCTTCCAACTCACAGTCGAAGAGGAAGAGAAAGAGTCCGTGGCGAGCTCGGTGACAGTCCGGAAGTCCAGGAATGGTCCGTTCGAACACTTCAACTTCAGTGGGTTCCAAAAGACCTGGAGTCTCAGTTCGTAGTCACACCTGTTTTTTGTTTGGGTCATGTCCCATTTTCCAAGGTACTGGATCAGTCGGGTCAAGGTACACTAAAAGACGAGCAGTTAGAATCTACATAAATTCTTTGTGATACAGTTAGAATATAGAAACTTTATATCTTGTTTGCTTATGGAGACAATATATATTATACCTACAGTTAAAATATACCAGAACAGCAACAACAACAACAACAACAACAGCAGCAGCAACAACAACAACAACAACAACAAACATCAACAGCAAACGCAAGTGCAACCAGCAAGAACTTAGAGCAAAGTAACATGCAGTAATATACGATTATTAGTTTCAAAAGCCACGGCCACAAGTTCACCAAGGAGGCACAAACCAGTACACAAGTAGGGTGCAACTCAATCCTGGAACTCTACCTGAGTGGTTTCCTATATTCTATATAACTGGACTGCCTACTCCCATATTCTAACTCCGGGTCCAATAAGTTGACGATATAGTAATGTTAATTCTTCAATTGTCATAAATGTTCAAGATTCTATATATCTTCTAAGTGCCTGTCTATGATAGTACAGTGCTTTCAGAGGTGAGAGAGAGTACAGTGCCTGGCACCCCTACGATCCCCGATCCCCAGGCCGTGTCTTAGACAGGCAACCAACCAACTTGGGGTAGCCTGCGCCATCGAACGAAGAACCTCTGAACCGGTCCAAACTGGACTTCTTCTGGGCGACCGAGCTGTGTCACTTCCGGGCCCTGTGACTGACCAACCGACCGAGGCGACGACTCGTCCAGAGAGGACGATGCGATACAAGGATGATCAGAAGAAGGGGGTTAAGGAACCATCTCTACCAGGACCTTCCAACAGGTCACCACCTGCGACTTTTAAGTCTACAAAAGCCTCCATTTCGGAGACCTGTTGGAAGGTGCTGGTATAGTGTGTCTCCCTAGAGACGGTGGCAGCCAGGGTCCTGCCAGCTTCAGCAGGTTCCTGGAGACCTGCCACTTCGTCAGACGAGCTCTTCTTGCTCCAACCGCTCCCCAATTCAGTCAGACCCCGATGCCTCGCCGAGCCCAGCGCTGACCGTAGATCTCTCTCGTCTCGCCGTTAACCCGTTGACCCGTTGACTCTGGTGTCACCCAAGGGGCGAAGGTTAAACCGTGGGCTTTGATGGAGTTTCGGGGAGTGGTTCATGTCTGATCCCAGACACGACCCATGAGACTGCCAGTGACTGCCGAGAAACGGCCAGGGCTGGTGCCAGAGGGGTCTGTCAGGGGCGGCATATATAGCAGACATGGAGTGTCTGGGGATGGTGATGTTTGATGTTTTTTGGGGGGTGGGGTTTTGGGGTGGTCGCTGTCTGCCTCGCCGATGAGGAAAATCAAATAGCTGGCCATTCCTCGGACGTCGTGAAGGTCGCACGTGAACTCGCGATCTGGATTGGACGAGGGCGGACCTTCTTCCAGGTCCGAAGCCCACGGCAAACCCAAAAACATTCAAAAAGGATCAAAAAGGGCATTGTATGTTTTGGAGTACGTGAAGGGTCTTTTGTTCGCTCGGCTTGCGGCACTTCGACCCATGGTGCACCTTCCTCCACTCCAGGCATCCAATCAAGTCGATGATGATGCAGGCATAGAGCAAGCGCCACTTGTCGCTGCCTAGGCGCCGCGCGACCCACGACCGTGACTCACGACACGCGTTGGGTCATGGGACATGTGGTGACCGACTTACAGGTCGGGTCGGTCGGGTTGTTCTTCCGAAAGAGAGAACCCTACAGGTCAAGGACCTCATTTGACTGGATCCGGTCATACAAAACCAGTACTCAATCAGGTCAAGGACCAGGTTTAACTTGGCCCTTGGACTTGTAGGGGAACGTTTTAATTTTACACGCTTTATGCACCCTAGGCTTCCACCCACCATTAATAGGCTGAATCCTGAATCAACGGGTTTTACACTACAAAAACCAGGTCGTTCCCATTGTTTTGAATGGTCGAACGGAAGTCTAGGGTGCAGTCAGGTCTAGACAAAACCTTCTTCCACCCACACCTTCGTCGACCGTTCGATGTCTGGGACGATGACGATGGCGCCAAAGAACGAGAAGCGTGGATGGTTCGTCCCTGTGGTGGGGAGTTCAGTCAGCAGAATCTGGCCCGAAAAACGAAAACTGTACATGTAATTTAAAGGCTTCCAAGCATCTAGAAGAAGATCAAGGAAAAGGAGGAGGAGGAGGGGGAGGGGGAAGCAGAAGCAGAACATGCCAGCAGAAGTCCAAATGACATTACTCTCCCTGGAATTAACATGGTTACGTGGATGGCATCACTTCCGTGTTTGAGTGGATTGAACATGGTCGGAACCCCAACTCGGTCTTTTATTCCATCCACGGAGTCCCATGGGGAGCGTTCCAGGGAGTATCTTTTGCTGACCTTTTGCAGGAAGTTCTCAACCTCAGGTTTACTTCGTGACGAGATGGTCTCTACCTCGAGAATTCCGGAGCCACGCAGCTGAAAACGACCGACCCCTAACTTCTCCTCGCGTGGAACCGAGTCATCAACGGTTTTTTCCGCATACCGGATGTGGTGGGGATCTGTACCATCAAAAAACTGCGTCGATTTGCTTCGGATTGATACCCGAGTGAGCCACTTATACCCATCCTACCCTAAGGCCCTAAAAGAGATCGCTCAACGATTTCCCCTCAGCTACACACCGTCTTTTGGCAGCCTTTCAAGGCGTTCTTCCCAAATCTGGAGTCCCAGATTTGGACTTCCTCAGCACCAAAGGATTGCAACCAGCAAACGTACCCTTCTTAAAGTGGGTCATGGGGTCCGGGATGTTCAAGCTCACCAAGGATCTATTTGCAAGGGCACAATTTCCAATTCGGGCCACTGAGTCTGGCATGGTCAAGTTCACTAAGGAGCTGCAAAACTGAAAGGCATAGTCCCCAATGTGGGTCACTGAGTTTGGGATTGTCAATCTCACCAAAGAGCTGCAATCCTGAAAGGCACAGTCTCCAATGTGGGTCACTGAGTTCGGTGCGACTACTTTGGCCAAGCCATCGCAGTTTCGGAAGGCATCATTAATCATCAGCAATTCGAGTGTCACCATCAGGGATTTCAACCACGAACCAAAGTACGTCTGGGTCAATATAACGCGTAAAGCTTGCAAGAGCATCTTTGCTGGAGCAGCTCACGGTGTTTGGCTTGAAGACCACATTCACGACCAAATCTGCTAGCCCTGCATCCGACACCTTCTCATCATTTCCCAGCAACCTGTCTCCGACAACAATCTCCACTCCGATGTTGCCCTTCTTTGATCAGCTGTTTAAGCTCTTTGCCTTTCATCTCCGGTAAAACTTCCAAGCGAATCCTTTCGCCCTTTTTCCTAGCAATGCTGACCATCGGCGTGATCAAACGGTGTCCATGCCATGGGCGAAGGATGCTGGATGTGAGCTACAACGCGGGACAACAGCGCAACAGCAATGCTTTGCAACAGCGCACGGCGACCGTCCCGACGGAACGGCCCGACCGACAGTTCGACCGTCCCCATGAACCCCGTGCGCCAACAACAAAGCAACTCGGCCAGGGCATCCAGTTACCGTGCACATGGTATATATAGCACTACCCTGGGAGTCAAAGACTATAAAAAGAATGGTCTTTAAGGGACCTGAAAGGGAAGTTCCTTTACTTCAGCCGGTCAAAATATAGTCTTTGGACTTCTAGGGACTATATAGCCGGTATAGCCAGTGGTTCCACTTGTACCATAGACCGAACGACTAACAGCTGTTTCCTTAATCACCGGCGGACCTGGGATCTGAACCCACTCCCAACCAACGGCGCCCACGGCACGGATGGCTTCCGCCGGCCCGGTGATGTCGAGCCAGGTTTGGCTCCCGGTGATCGCCGACAGGTTCACCATGAAGCCCTGTGACCGCGGACAGCGTTTGGGGCGTAAGCTCCATCGGGGGGGGGAAGCGGGACAGCGTTTGGAGCGCGGGACATCGTGGCGGGACATCGTGGCTCTGCTGAAGCTCCAATGCAAACAGAATGGAACTCTCGAGTTGTAGCTTCTCTGTCAGCGAACGGAACAAAGCCTCCTCAAGCCAACCACATCAAAACGAAGCTACTTGAAACCCATCGGGGAATATGATCATATTACGTCTATGATCTTCTATTCGCGTGCCCATGCACGAAAAGATCCTGGCTTTCCTGGGAGTGAGTCGAAAACTGATAGATCTGACCTGAGTTCCAGCAAGTTCCGGAATACATTTGGTGACCACCACTTCCAGGGAGGCCGAAGTGATGGACCGTGGCCATGTTCGCCGAAACGGACATGATCCCAAAAAGGATGGAAGAAGACCTGGCAGTTAGGTGTAAAACGTAAAAATATGGTACCAAAAAAATGGTATAAAATATGATTGTGGGGGCAAGAACAAGAACCAATTCAATACTGAATGGGTTGGAAGACCCAATCCTTCCTCCAGACCTCCATCCAGATCCTTCCAGATCAGACCCATGGGGGGTCTGCTTGACACCTGTCCAAGGACACCTGCAGCATGGTGACCACTGAAGCATCGTTAAGCCCAGCAAGGATGCTCCGGAGGTCGGATTGCGTCGGATGCCTTGAGAAAACCATCTCCTTGACAGACACCCCTTCAACCATCTTCAACCAGGGCCCTCCAAGCTTCGGCTGCTTTGGGACCCGACAGGTACCCTGACAGGTACCCTGACAGGTGAAGAAGAACACCGAACGCACGGAACGGAGGGTCAACAGTCATAGTGACTGATGGAGGGTACCTGTGACCCGCATCTGAGATGTGCTCTTCCACCCTTCACCCCGCATGCGCACGCCTCGCCTGACGCACTTCAGGCATGCCTCCCACAGCCGCCATGGCCACACGAGGAACAGAGTCCAAATGCACGAGGATACGAATCGGAAAGAGAAGAAAATGAGGATGTCACTGTCTTGGCAACCAAAAACCATGTCCAAACAGGTAAAGGATCAGAGAGACTGTTGCACATTAGGGCACAAAGTCTTTGGAAATATGGGCCAAATAAATGTTGCCTGTTCTTCCCAAAAAGAATGCAACTGTTACGACGCTACAGCGCTACACGTTTTGCGTACGCACCAGTTTCAACTGCTGTATTCTCGGATCGTCGACATACAGGGCATCGAGGGCATCGCAACCCAGCGACATGTGCGTTGGTTCAAGGCTGAAATCTTTTGTTCACCATCCCAGCGACGATATCGCTGCAAAGCAGGAGACTCAGGGCTACACCTGATCGCTGGTAGAAGCTGAAGAGCTGAAAGATAATAGGATCATCCGTAGATAGAATTCTGGAACAAAAAAATCTGGAACATGTCTTGAATCCTGCGCCGGGTCCCTCCATCTATTCTGCAGTTCTTAATTTTCGATCTGCCTGCGACCCCGGCTCGGCCTACATCGCTGGCTTTCCGTGATCTTTGTGATGCCTTCAGTGCCAAGTCCGTTGCTTCGACAGTGAGCCTTCTCAAATGCACCATCTACCATCCGCGGGTACCCTGGAGACCTGGTAGACCGACGTAGGGAGTCGGGTAGTCGGTCTCGCCGGCACACCAACAGGATGATCCTGGTACACCACGGGCAACTTCTGTAATTGTGGCGATGATGCTTTCGAGAAGGTGCACTGTTTGTTTCGTTCAAGGAACTCTATAGTTAAAAGCACCCTCGTATACTCCCCACCTGCATCAAGTTGGCCCCGGGTGTACCGGCGAGCTCCGCCCCGCACGCGCGAGCGACCTGTTTCGGCCCTCCCTTTTTCGCCGGTGGACCACCGTGGCGCCCCTCTCTGTCACGGAGGATCGGGCGGATCCCCCGGATTCGAACGAAGCGTAGCGGCTTCACTTCGAACTGATCACTTCTTTCGCGTTTCGTAGCGTTTCACTTCAATGGGAGTCACTGAGTCGACTGGTATATATGACCATCCTCAACGAGGTCTCCGGACCTCGCATGAGGAAGACTTGAAGTCGCGTCGCTGAACGACTTCAGGGATGTGCATCGTCTCCAAAGGCATCTCACTGAGCTCTGGGATGGTTAAGCTTGCCAAAGAGCTACTAGCTGCAAAGGCAGTCTCCAACATGTACGTCATGGAGTCTGAGATGGTCAAGTTATTCGATGCGCAAGATCGAAGGCATTCTCTCCAATGTGGGTCACTGAGTACTTGGGGTGGTAAGCAGCTTGCCAGTCAGACCTGCAAGTCTTCAACGCGCGCATTTCTTCACCCCCGAATACGCCTCGCACTACCCCCCGCACCCCGAAAGAAAAAGAATCAACATATGATCCTGGGAAATCCAATTCCTGAAAAGTGGTCTGACACATGTTGAAAATGGTCCGACTATGTTGAAAATGTTGAAAATGGTCACTATGTACATATCAAATAAACTTGTGTTGCTGCAAGTGGATCTTATCCACTTTGGAACCGGGTCTTTGGGAAAGGAGGTTCTGCAGGAGGTTCTTGCGAATAAACCTGCAGCCATTTAGCTTTATGTGGACATGATGAGATGGCGCTTTGAGAGCTCTAGCAGCTCCAGCAGCACCACCTCCGATGATGAGGAGGCGGAGTGATTTGCATTTTGCTTTGTGAATGCTATGCAATTTCGTTTTCCTTATTGTTTTCCCAGGATGTGGAAATGGCTGAGCCGCCCTATACAGCAGTTCAGCTAGACTACTTGGAGATGGGAAGTCACTTCCTCAACGGGTCCGGAATCTAGGCAGCAAGCTGTTGCAAGCTGCAAGACTTCAAAAAGGATGATTAGTTTTTAGAGAGCCAAGGACTGGCTAAGTGGATCAAAACATGGCAGGAACATGGTGCAAAACTTTCCTTTGCCAGTGATTGCCCCTCATCGAAATTAGAGGGCATCTTCACTTGTTGCATGCTGTGCAATGACATGCAATGACTCTCCTAGGTTCTGGTGCTGACACACCGTGGATTGGTCTGGGAATGATCTTCAAAGCAGCCGGCTATGCGGATGGCCTATCGTACCTGCCCCTATCTTAGCAGCTCCTGTGAAAAACACAGCTGCTGCAAATTATGTCACACCTTTTTCCACAGGTCAGCCAGCGAAGTCTCTGCACCAAAGCGGAAGTTCTTGGAGGTGAACTTCGGAAGTTCTTGCCGCCAGTTTCTTGCCTTATTGCATCTCAAGTTTTCAAGCTTCCACTTCATCACTAGCTGCATCTAAGGCTTGGAAGTGATGTCTTCACCAAGAAAGTGAAATGGATGAAGGGCAAAGCGACTTGTCAAACAAAATGAACACACACACATGCTTCTTCAGTTTCTTGTTGAAATTGTGCGATATCATCCGGAATAAATGCGATTTTGACCTGAGGTTGGTATTTATGTGGCAGGGTTTCCATGCACCCCGTTCAGCGCTTTACATGCTGGTTCCCAACGCCTGTTGGATGTGAATGCAAGACAGCTTTTCAAGATTGTGAGCAATTGCAAGAAGATGCGACCCTGTGTTTCTTAGCCTCACATGTATTTCCGTCAAACTTGTGTGTGTGCAGTTAAGTCTATATACATCACTTTGAGGTGATCCTACTTGAAAATGTGATGGGATTTCTCAAAGATCATGACCGAGTGATGGATTTCATCTTGGCCAATCTTGCAGGGCACCTTTCTAGCACTTAGTGTGTTGCACTTTGTGGGGTTGCATGCAACCAAAGTATTGAGTCAGGTACGACCACGTGACAGTCATCACAGATCCGTCTTTTAGCTGCACTTTCCTGCTTACAAGAAATTGTCCTTCTAATGTGTAACATGTGACTCGATGCTCACTTCACTAAGGCGCCAATACGGAGCACCAATCTCAAGAAGGAGGGTATACATTCTGCTGCTAAGAGATGACATCAAGAACGACAGGGTGAAGGAGGAAGGCTTGGGAAAGTTCATCCAGTCCCGGCTGGATGAGATGAAAATCCCACTTGGTGACGTTCCATCATGGTCCCTTTGTTTTAACATTGGGGTTGTCTTTCATTGTGGCGTCGTTTCTTTGGCTCGTTTGGATCCTAAGGGAAAGCCTACTGCTTCCTGCAAATCATCCAGCTGTGGTAGCTGATTGTGCAAAGAAGATGCGTCTTCAATCCATAAACAGGGAGAAGAAGCTTGGTTCTGTTCAGCTACTGAATAAATCAACACACCAGGCATATAAGAAAAGAACAAGATGGATAAACAGATTTGGAATAATTGAGAAACACATAGTTCTCACATCAGTCAAACTCTGACTTAGGCCGGTGAATCCAAAGTGCAAATGGGTGAAGCGGCATCGGATCTGGGCAAAGAACCATCAGGTGGGATTCAAACCAAACCCATGAACCAAAGAACAAAAACCTCATGTCAGGTGGATTTGGCGCAATCAGTCGGCCTCTTCAAACAAAGATACCCTCAAGCTGCACAGTATGTCTCCACAGCACGAGAGATGCAGGCAGGAGATGGCAGTAGCCTCCACTGATAGGAAATGCATCACAAGCTCCTCACGCTACTGCTAGGCTTTGAACCTCATCACGGCCTACAAGGAGAGCTTCGCTGCTACAAATACAAGCCAATCGTTGGGCTGCATTCCGTTGATCCAAAAAGCATCTAGCAACCTCATGTGTTTGACGTTGGAGGCTAAGTTCAAAACATTCAATGTTCAATCTGTTTGCTACTACTGGTTGCAAGCATATAGCCTGAGGCCAAACGGAAAGTTCCTCGTGACCACCGACAAAACCCAACGATACCTGATCGGGCGTGAGCTCCTCTTGCTAATGGGCATTCCCATCCACAAATTGGACCTGACCTGCTGCACTGAACAGGCTACTGGACAGCAATTAACCGTACCTTGATGAATGGTTCCAAGTTCAAGAGAACAAACAACAAAAACACATCTTAGACCTAGTACCAACATTGCTTCAGGTGCTGCATTCCCTGGGTGGCAATGCGATGGCAATGCGATCTGTTATTCCATGCCTGCTGGCAGCTTTGGCCGCAACGTGCCCGCTGCAAGTCATGAATGCAATTCAGAGAACATAGTGCTTGTGAACAGCAAATTCAACAAGCAATTAAGATGTGCCTACCGAATCCCGCTGTTGCAGAAAAGCTGCCACCTTTGCAGTGACGGTCAATTTATGTCAATTCTTGTAGTGTAAATTGCAACAACACTTGTACTAGACTTGCTTCATGATCTTCATGCTCTGCCACTTAATAGCTATTTTTTTGTGTTCAACATGCCCGTCTTGGGGAGATGGGACGATAGTGATGATGATGCCACTGGCAGCGAGAGCGAGTCAGCACGGCCAAAGAAGCCCGGATGGCGCTACGATGAATCATCTTCAGCGAGCCTGCCACTTGCCGACAACCATCAAACAGATTCAAGCAGTAACAAACTGAAACCTTTGAACACACTTGGTGATGAGGAGTGCCGAATCAGAGTCCGAATCTGGTTCTACTACTGGTGATGATGGATCTGAGTCTGAGTCTTCCTGCAGTCACCCAAACCCAGCAGCTATGGAAGTATCGCTTTCACTTGAACGCTTGCAGTCCCTACATGCACTTCAATCAGGCCCTGGTAAGCCCAGCTCCTACTCAGAGAGTGGAATGTCAGTAAACCGGTGCAAAAAAGCACTGCAGAATCCACCTTGTCCTTGCAAGTGCACATTACCACTGAAGTTGCTGATTCTTGTTTGCCAAAGCTTTTGGCAGCTTTCAAAAGCTGCCCAAGACAGCCTCCTATGGAGCATACAACTTGAGGGGGGCGCGTGCAACCGCAGATCTTGGAACATAGCTGGGTACCCTGTGTGCCGTGAAGCATGGTTGTGCTTCCTGGGGGTTGGCAAGCAACGTATATCCCGATGCAAACGCAAGTTCCATGGCAAGGATGAGCGCAGTGTGACATGTCGTGGAGGATACATGTTTTATTTGTTGTTCAAAAAGTATCAACTCGTATTCTTGAACTTGGAAGAAAGCGATCATGAACATCACTCCCCTCCCAATCCATCGCCTTGAAAGGACCAGGATCGCGGCCAGCCTTGAAGACCGCCTCGGTCGAGGCATTTTTTGTGCACATATACTGGAGCGCAGGGGAGCACATGACGACAATGCCTCTTGCCAGAATGGCTGTGCACCCCAAAAAGTAAATATAACATGACAAGAGAACCAAATAGCACTCAGTGATTGTTTATGAGCCAGCCAAGGGGATCTGCCAAGTCAATGCTTGAGCTATCCGACGAGAAACTTAGACAAGATCTCCTCGATAAACTAATCGATGCCAAGTTATCAGGACCGACCACACAGTTGGGATTCCAATGCAATCCGGAACTGCTACCAGAGAGATGCCTACCCCATGGAAATTGGTCAAACCTCTTCACAATCTATGCAGCTTATGCTGCTGCGGAGGGAGAGCAGTGTGCATCCAAGTCAGTATTCTACACCATCGCCAAAAGATGGAAGGTTTGCTTGCGGTTTCCCAAAGCCAGTATGCACTCAGTATGCAAGACATGCTCTACCCTGAAGAGTTCCCTTGCAAATGCAGCAGAAACTCTCTTGCAACCTTTGCATTGTCATGCTTTGATGGAAGAACTTAGTGGCCTTCACTTAAGGACTTCATTGAACATGCGAAGATTTCTGCCAGACTTTTGCATCACTACACAGTTCAATGGAGGGATCGCCAAGTCTACTGGCTGGCCAGATCCAGATCGAAGTTGGAGCGGGACCTGATGTGCATGATCATCGATTCATACGACAAAGCGAAGTTGTGTCTACCGCGTTTTCCGCAGAAGCGGACTCCGAAGGACTCCCTGTACGAGAGTTTGAGAAGATTCATGGTTCAAGCTATTTGTCTTTGAATGTCTTTGAATATGCTGAATGAAATGTTCAATTGTGCATTGATTGGGTCAACAGCCACTCTCTCAGGAACGCAAATGACTCTGACATGCAGCATCGCCCATGGATTTGGCATTTACTTCTATCTTTCAGACGAAGGCCTTCCAGTTGGAGCCAGTTGGACGATTGAAATTGCATCTTAGTCAAGTTATGAATGAGTTGAAAGGTGTTTTACTCGGAAGACAATGAAGACACAGCAGTCAGGCAATGAAGTCTTTGGACTACGCTTGGGCATTCGCTCGCCGTCAGGGAAAATCCTTTCCTTATGAGTGCATTGCTGAGTTGTATATTGTGTTCCATGGTCCAGTGAAGACATTCCTTGCAAGTGCCTTGAGGTTGTGGCTGCAAAGTGACAATGCAGTCAAGGAAGGACGGAACAGCTTCATTCACAAGCTCCTATGTCTCCTGACTCAGGGTGGGTATTTCCGTCAGACCACGGGAGCCTACCTGGAGGTAGGACACACCCACGAGGATGTAGGCTGGGTTGTAGTGAACTTTGCAGAGCTGTTGAACATAACCCTTTAAGTAGACACCTCACAACCCTGCTGTGCAGATGCTGCATTGGCCGTGGTCACCGCAGCATTGAATGGATGCTCTGATCTGCAAACTCCACGCGACATCATCAGGCAGATTTGGAAAGTGATTTTGTTTGTCGCTACACTCAGTGTTGTTTACCTGCTCATTCATGCAGGGCAATAGAGAACCGAGTGGCACCTTTATTTGCAAAGCATGGCATGGAATGCATTGTGGAAAAGGTGGGTTCAGCAACTGGCCTCCAATTTGGCTTTGTCATGAACAGTGGTGTTGGAAACGTAAATGCCAATGTGTTTGTGCCCAGGTGCGGGACTGGAAAGCCATCATGCCCCCTGATGTCCATCTCTACAATGCGTACAAAGACCGCAAAAGGAATGCAAATGATGATGATGTTGCAATGAAGGTTCCTCAGATGTTCACATTTGTGAAGCGGGAAGGCGGGAAGTTTCATACTGCAACAAAACATTCTCAGAATGACCCGTGTTCATATTTTTATTTGTTCCCTGATCCCTGTCAGATATGCCGTCGCATGCCCACTTGATGCCGGCGGAAAGCCGAGTACCTGTGCGCCTCCGGGGTTGTGGCGAGCGGAAAGATATTTTCGCCCTTACGAAAACCAACATGTCGGACGAGTACTTGTGCCAGGATCCCATATTGGTCTATCCACATGGCCTCCACGGATCGACCTGCCACTTCTGGAACCGTGTGATGCATCCAAGCCCAGGTCTTCCAGTGGTGCTACCAGACATTGATGATCAACGATGCCAGGAGCTGCAGACCCTGGCCACGCAGTTGGAAAAAGACTTTGCACACTTCAGCAGGGCAGCTCTTTACTACAGGACGCTGGCAAACAATGAAGAGGAGGCAAAGCCTCTTTCATCCTTCCAGTTCATTGCGGATGGACCGACCGCTGACCAAAGAGTTGGGGAGGTTGATCTTGGCGAGAGGCCTGTGCCTCCCAAACCACATAAACTCAAAGTGGCTTACCGCCGTCCTGGTGATGATGCTTAGGGGCAAGTTGCAAAGCAACTTGAAGCTTTGAAGGGGAACCTTTGTTGCAAAGCAAGGGAAAATACAATGCATCCACCTCACAAAGGCTTGTTTGAAAGATTTGGAGAGGTAGTTGAGTAGTTGACTGCTCACTTTTGATCTCCTGATGCCGGTCCACCCTCCTCGAACATCAAAACAAGGCACATGGATGATATGGATGGCAAAATGTGGCAAACATGCAATTGATTCACACATATCATATTCACAGTGTTCCACAGCACTCGTGGTTTGACCTGCACCGCAGTGCTCCATGTCTGTGCCTGATTTGGGCAGTGACAAGCCTTTGGGCCAGTTGTGCGCCTTTTTTGACTCTGTTGGGGGCTTGGCTGTTGAATTTGTTTGCTTGTTCTTTGATCAGTTTTGATCATGGGCAGCCCTTCAAAGGTGGTGGAGAAAGAGAACTTTGGCGATCACATCAACAGGGTGTTTTCAGAGCGCGAGCTGTTTGTGCAGGCGGGCACTTAGTTACTTGTTGGTTAGTCTGTATGGGTTCTTTTGAAAAGTACATCGTTCAAACTATCGTTCAAATATGTTCAAATTAATGAGATCTTTCAGGTAGTGCATCACTATGTGCTGGATAAATTTGATGTGGGTGGAATGCAGCGGCCTACACTCTCCCTGGTTCCACAGACTACTCTCAACGAGTTCTACCTCCCGTTGCACAAATTTGACATTGGCCCCGGAGCGAAGAATGGATGCCGGGTGTTCCAAAGTTTGTAAACTTGACACAGAAATCAATTCAACAATATGCAACATGTTGCTTGGCTTTCCGTTTCACACTTCTGTCCCAATCCTTGCACCCCTGAGTTTACCCACAAAACCAGCAGATTGCGAAGCACTTCCGGGAGTTCTTGGGAGGATACTTGCCGCGTGAAATTGTGGAGGTTAAGTTCCCCTACAGCACCTCTACACGTGAAATAGCAAACGCATCGACCGGCTTCCTCGATGGACAAACAAAAGTTATCATTATGGTTGGCATTCTGGCCATCATCTACCAGTTAGACTCTTGGCAGTGTACTTGGCAGTTGTGCCACTAGCAAGTCCCAGCAAACCTTCCGCATTCTAAGGAATGGGCAGAGAACGGTCCAGAGCTTCAGGATGCTGAAGTCCTCCACATGCTTGAAAGCTTTCGATGGATCAGATGCTCCTTCACGCACTACACGAACCCGGCGATGCACTATCTCCAATCGCTCAGAAGCTTGCCCCAACAACTAGTAGGTCTTACGTTACATGGTCTTACAATCATAGATGTAAACGATTGCAAGCAGTTTCAAGCTGTGCCAGCATGATTTGCCCGCCATCCCGCCTTATCTGAGAAATTGGACACGTCACTTCCGAAAAGCAATCGCCATCGGCGATCCAGTTCATGGCAGACCTCAAGCAAGCCATGGATCTGGAAAGACGTCAGGCCAGGGCAGGCGCTCGGTTGGCAACAAAAGACCTGCTGAACAAAACAGTTGCTGACTACAACCGCTTATGCACTCTGAAATCCCACCGTATCGATCAGCAGAAGAAAGCCATGTGTTACAACATGTTCCTTAGCAGAACTTAGAATCCCATTGAACTGTATGAAGAAAACATCTGGTCAGACTTGAACTTACTCGGATGATCTCGGATGATCTTAGGTTGAGAGCTCCCGAAGAAGTGCACCGGTTGATCCACGCTCACTACGATGTCTACAACCATTCATCGTCAGGATTGATAGATCTTGCCCTTTTTGAAATAATGACAACTGCCAACACTCTGATGTGTCAGTGTTGCCCTGAAGGACTTCCAATCGAAATCCTCACAATGGATTTTTGGGTCCCAGGGAGCTCGGTGAGGATGGATGCCCCTGAATTCACTGGCAAAGATCAATTCAGACAGATCCTGGAAGTGACCAGCGAGACAACGGTTCTGTGGGTGAAACGGGTCATCCAGGAGATTGATGTTTCTTTGTCTTCATGAATTCTTCTTTGCAATTCTTTGCATTAACAGTCAAACCTAAAACCACACACAGGATTTCACAAGAGCTGCTGGAAAGGATGCTTCCACCAAAGCCAAGGCCAGTAGTTTGTTTCAACTTTTGACTTATAACTTGTGGGTGTTTCCCCCAATCCCGCCAGAAACAAGCGCAGAAGACTGAGCAGCAGCACCTTCAGCTGTTCGATTCAGTGTGCTTGTGGCTTCACCTGGAGCCGAAGATGAGCGCGGAATTCCCTGCGCCAGTCGTGGACCGTCACCGGGAGCTCTTCATGAAAGGGTTTCTTGGATGCATATGATCCCGTCACAATTTGATGTTCCCATTTGGCTGCAGCCAAAACCTTTGACCCCGTCACAATCCCATTGGCTGCAGCCAAAACCTTTGCACGAATAATTGAATACAGCCGTTGACCCCGTCACAATTCGATGTTCCCAGTTGGCTGCAGCCAAATGGCTGGAGCCAAGTCCCCCAGACACATTGTGATTGGGTTTCCAGAAACCCCGTCACAATTCTGGTTTTGGAGTTGGCTGCAGCCAACCAAAAATTTTGGATCATCTTGAGATAGCAATTTTTGGATCCAAATTGTGATTGGGTTTCCAGAAACCCCGTCATAATTTTATAAAGGATCCAGGTGACCAATCAACTTTGGGGAATCTATCATAGCAGCCTAGGAATGATTGATTTGTTTTTTGCATATGAAATTGTGATTGGGTTTCCAGAAACCCGATCACATTCCCCAAGTAAGAAACCAACCTTTGGGTTTGATTGATTTTATGATATTTTTTGAAAATATCATAAATCAATCAACCCATGGCATATTGCACTGGCTGAGGTCTCTTGACGCAGACTTGCAAGGCGTCATGAAGAATGCAGAGCCCTTCGATTGGCACAGAATCAACTTTGTGCTGGAGGCCAGGCTTTGACTGGGTGATAAAACAAAAATTCACAAAGTTGTGAGCCCTGATGTGCGTAAGCACCACATACACTCAAACCGTTGAACCATACACAGATTGAAACCACATATATTTAACTTGTCAAAATGTCTATGATTGTTTTTCTTGCCCCCCATAGTGCTAGCCTTTGCACACTCACTGTTTTGAACATACTTCACACCAAATATGTTTGGTCAGGTCAGAGGAATCACCATGGAGACGTTCATCAGCGAATCTCAAGACCGTCAACGGAACGCCCTGTCAAAGTCTGTCCAGGCTGCCTTTAATGCATGGCAAGAGCAGTTGGGCAGTGACCAGATACTTTTTGAACAAGCTCAAATCATGTCACTTGTTTGCAATTGCCAGCGTCAAGATTTCTGAAATATGTTCCTTTTTCAATGCACACCTGACAAAAACGGAAAACAGTTCTGGCATGTTCTAGCGGATCTCTGTGGATGGTCCTCCTTATTTGATACTTCTCGATTGCCCTGATGCCGGTTCACTGCCTGAGAAACCCGGCTTCAAAGACCAAGTTCAAGTTCTAGGACATTGTGCTTGCCTGCGCGCAGCAACTTAGGCAAGAGCGGTCTGCAGCGAAAACACGTACGCGGCTTGTGCGGCAGTTGGAGGCACACTCTTTTTGCTAAGCAAATACATGTGTATATGTGTCATGCTTGTGTGTGAAAAATGGGCATGTAAGCAAATCCTGCCATAGAGATATACAGAGAGGGACAAATAGCGACCAAACTCAAACCGCAGGAGCAGCACCACAAGGCATGGGAAGTGGTTCAAGAGTACATGGCAACAAGCTTCAAGATCTTCCCCGGCAAAGCCAGTGACGCTCTCACGACCGTGATGCCGGCAATGAATGAATGGCTGGAGCAATCTCTGTCAGAGATTGATGAAGTTCGCGAGCCGGATGACCATGCAGTCATCGTGTGGGTCAACCTCCCCACACAGGGGATTCTTGGGGCACACAAGCGCGATTGGGTGGTGACCTACCTGACAAGTGTCCTGCAAAAATACAAGCGCAATGGCATGGCAATCTTGGTCCACAGCAACAGAGCTTCTCAAAACCTACCTGGGAACTGGGTTCCAGGGTTGAATGACCAAACACAGAAAGACTTTAAGAATATGTCCAAGTTCAAAGTGTGCAGGTAGAATTGCAAAGTGTAAAACTGTTATATTCAAAAAGACCTGTTGAGAGCTTGTTTGAGACTCAATGGTTTGGGGTTGCAGTGGCCATCCCTGACCAGGAGAGACAGCACCAAGGAGGAGGACCATGATTCCGAGGTCAAGGTGGAGAAAAAAGAAGAGCCTGATAGTGGTGATGAGGATGAGTCGGAGGAGGACAAGGCAGAGGAGGCTGACGTCCGGGATGTGAGATATCAACTGGAGAACCTTGGGTCAACTAGGGGGTCACAGCTTAGTTGGAAGTCACATGCTTTGTTCAACTCGATTGTTTTCATATCATGATGATCGTGAAATTTGCTCTCTCCGGCTCTTAGGAAAGCTTTGTCCCTCAAGGAAATGAATCTTCTGATCCGGCCCTTGACCTGGGTTTTCGATCCAGCTACTTGCATCAACATCTTAAAGTTAATATGCTGTTTGGACTTGTTTTGAGGCCAGGCTATGCTAGCTATACCGTGTGCTTTTGGCTGCCCAAGGAGACTGTATATGGAAAAAGGGACGGAACTATGAGTGGACTTCTCATTGTCAGCAAGAGCGACCGGAACAACATCCTGAAAGCAAGCAAAGCGTTCAAGCAGGGAGTCATCCATGGTGTGCGCATGTGCCAAAGGAATGAAATGTGGAAGGGGCCTGAGGCCTGCTCTGAATCACACCTTGCTCTGAATTCTAGGGTCGCGTTGGAATTCTTATTTTTCTGCAGAACCGCAACCTTGCTCTAAATTCTAGGTTGTTGTGTTGTTGGAAAGTTTTCTGCTTTCTTCCACAACCCGATTTCATCTACAGCATCCCTGGCCTCAGGTGGGCACATCCAAGAAAGGTTTGCCGCACCTTGGGCGGGCCATGACAGATGTGCAGGAACTGCGACAGGTAGGAGGAGATACACCTTTCCAGCACTTGCCGCTTTGGAGGACTTGAGACATACAATGCCACAAGCTATAATAGCTTTGCACAAAGTCTTTCATGTCTCCTGGAGCTTGTAACTAGTAGGCCACTTACCTTTCATATATTAATGATACCCATTTTGACTGTGTCGGTTGCACCCTATCTCGTTGTGGCTAATTACAGAATGAAATAACTATACATCTCCCACTGACTTGTCCCACAGGAGAATGCTGAGGGATCCCGCATGTTGTGCGCAACGGCGATGCTGGACATCTCCTCCAACGATCTGGGCAGCAGAATCGCCAATTCTATCTACAACTCTTGCCGAGCTGGTCAAATTCAGCTACATGGCTTTCCAGACTTCAGCCCGACATTGACAGCATTGAAGTCTGGAGTGAGTGAAAAGGTTGAGAAGACCTACAAGACCTGCACTGTGGTTGGTGACAAGCTGGCAATCCTACAGGTTTATGCCCAAAAGTGGCTTGATGAAGAGCTCACTCGTGAGTCTGCAACCAACATCATCAACGAACACAATGCCAAGTTCAATGTTGATGGTGACTTTCTGCATGGTGAACGTTCGATGCCTGGTTTCAATGGCCTTACAATAATGAGTAAGCAATATGCACTGGCAACACATTTGAGCAATATACTGTTTCCCCTCGGATAACTGTCCTGTCCACGCAAAGGAATGAAGCTGAAGTCAAAGAGCCACCTCTCAAGAAGATCAAAATTGAAACTACAGACACGTGCACTGAGCAGGAGCTGGGCAACCTTGTCAACCCGTACCATGCCTGGCATATTATGAAATCATCTTGAGTCTTTTCTTACATGTATTAAATAAGGTGAAGAGTTCAACTGAATTAAAGTGAATGTTGGTTGTGCAGAGGCAGAAGTTCAGCATCAACAACAATTCAGAGCTGGTGGCCTCTGGATCTGGGGACACCATCTTCTTGGCGTCCAAGGGCAAGAACAATTTCCTGGCCCATCGTGAGATGCTGCTTGTTGGCAGCCACGTTCAACATGTGTGAGCCTACTAGTTTACTGCGGCTTCCTTCCTTGATTCGTGTACTTCAGGTTTTCGTTTGGGCCCGGGGAATGGAGACTTGGAAGTGAGTCTTGGTTATAAGTTGCAGGTTACAAGTGAATACTCAAGTGAATATTTTTGCTATCACAAAACCACACCTTCTATTTTCTATACCCGCACTCCAATAGTCTTGCTCGCTAAGGAAGCGAATGAATCCATGCAAGATTCTGCTGGTAGATGGTTCAAATTTGCAGCGAGCATGGAGTCCCTGGTGTTGCTGGAGAAGAAGGATCTTCCAGAACACTTACATCAGTGTCCATCGGTTGACCGCCCGGTTGTGCTTAAGACTCTCTTATCACATCTGGAGGACGCTGGAGAGGCCATGGTGAGATGTTTTAAACAATTAATCACCAGAATTTGGAGTGGCACCCAAAACATGTGTCAAAATCTTCGAGTGTCAGCTAGTGTCAGGTGAACATCAAGATCAGCCAGCACACCCTATCTAGTGGGGAGGAGGCGAACCTGAGCCCTGACAAGCCTCTTTGCTTCCTTCTGGATGAGCGCAAGAACCAAGATGATGATGCCGGAGGGAACAAAAAAAAGAAAAAGAAAAAAGCAAAAAAGGATGGACCTGCACCCCCTACTTTCAAGAACTTTGGTAGCTTTGTCAACGTGAGCAAGATGAAGAATGCTGGAAAGCTGACCATTGGTTGGCGGGTGAGGCACAGGGTTATCTTTTAGTCTTCTCTTTGGTTCAGCATTGTTCAACGAACTGCACAATTAGAAAAACAATTGCAGCAAAACGACCTGTATGCATGTTTGTGGACACGCAGGTAGATTGCTAGGTAGGCAGGGCAATGGATGTGAGGGTGCAAGTATGTGAGCAAGTATGTATTCATAATTATTCATACATGCGCGCATACATGTATGTATGATTATTGTATGACCTGTATTTATGTATCTATGTCATGTCACGTAAATGCAACTGCTGTATATGTGTATGTGCACGAATATGAAATACAATGAACAATGATGCTTTGCTTTGTATGTATGTACGTACATATGTATGTGTGTATGTATGTATCTATTTGTGTTTGTATGTATGTATGTATGTATGTATGTATCTCTTTGTGCCTGTTTGCTTGTATGTATGTTTGTACTTGTTTTAGCAAACACTAAACCATATATATTATATATATAGCGAAAATAAAAGTGCATTTGTACATGCACATTACATACGTGTACATACATATTACATGTATTTGCACATACATTTTCATAGGCAAAACCATGTGATGCTATGTGAGTATGTTGACACCTGTACAAACATTTATATAGGTTTGTATGCAGGGGTCTTTGTACATGTAGATGGGTGTGTGCACGTGTCTTTGGATGTATGGGTGGATGAATAAATGAATTGTATGAATGGATGGATGGACGGGTGGGTGTCTGCATGTGTAACATATGTAACTGTATGTGGCTTAGTGCACAGAAACCAATTTAAATATTATTGAATAGATAGTTCCATATGTAACAAAAAAGGTACAGAATACATAACACACATGCAAACCTATGCAAAGCATCCACACACTGCATGTATGGTTATGCTTGTGTCACCAAAAATATGAGTCCATGAGTCCAAAAACATAAACACATCGTTGGAGGCTGGAATCCGTTGATGGATCCCAAGTTGTGGCTCCCATTCGGCCGATCGCATGCCTGAGCGGTGGGCTGGAGATGGAGCAAGGCATCATACGGATCATGTAGGTCCTCACTGCTGGAAGCGGTGTTGCCCGGGCAAGTTGATGTTTGGGTCTCAAAAGAACAGTTTCGCCTTCCTCATTGGTAGAATTTAGAATCATATTATCTGGCAGAGGCCTGATTTGCCCGAAGTTTTGCACTCCGAAGCCTTCAAGGAAGTGCGTGGGTGGAATCTGGAAACCGCAACTGCAGGTATGTAACTTTGAAAGTAACATCATTAGTGAATGGGTACAGCTTCCTTGAAGTGCTTAATCGAGTCATTCCTACCCATGAAAAAAAAGTGGTGCTGGGTAGACCGGACATTGCACTTGCATGCAGTCATAGTCAGAGGAGGTACACTTCAAGACTTAAATTAAAGAACATATGAATGTCGCTTGTGCACTTCAGTTCAATCAGCTTAGCTTCACGAAGTAGCATAGGAGGATCCTGCGAACACACTCATGTCCGAAATCTCCAGCGATGTGGAAGAGGTCACTCCAAAGGCTACCTTTCGACCGCCAGCTTCTTGGCTGCATGAACTTTGCTATTATGGAACAGTGCATGGCTTCATGTCAAATACACATTATGGAAACCAAACACTTGGCTACAAGAATAAATGATGGCCCAGGCGTTCAACTTGCAGAACATGTTGAATGAGAACCCACCAAAGTCCCGACCAGCGCCCAAGCCAAAGTCCTCGACCTCCACGAGTGCGGTTCCAAAGTCTTCACCACCTGCAAAGTCTTCACCACCTGCAAGCAAAGCGAGTGCCCATTAACAAAATACACCGCTTCTCAATATGTGTGTGATTATCTTTATGCATGCAGCTGTGTGTGTGCGTGTGCTGTTTTACCCTAAAGCATCCACTCTATACTTCACCAGGTACATCACATCCTGTTCCTCCTAGAGTTCAGGACTCATCAGAGTCATCGCAGGGTGGGTCCAGCTCTGGGAAGAAAGTCAAGGACTCAAAGGTCACCAAAAAGCCAAGCAAAAAGGATGATGAAGTGGACGCCAACCATGTACCCCTTGGTGGTAGTGAGGATGATGAAGCGGACAATGATGGGTCTGATGAGCTTGAAGGTCTGCAGGCACTTCTTGGGGGTGGAAAAGGCATGAATGAGTGCCCTGCCAAGAGACCTGCATCCAGGCAGGGATCCTATTTTCACTTAGTTTTGACATGTGACATCTCGTTCTATGTTTAAAAAGTGTGCTGCAGGAACCCAAGCTCTGGCGCTTCCACAAGGAAAAAAACCATCCAGCAAGAAGAAGGAGCCTGTGCAATTTCCCAAGCGCAAGCATGAGCGCTGGTTATTATGTTAATGCCTCTTGGGCCTACCTTCAGGAGTCCTTGCCCTTTGCTCACATGATCGAACATGCTGCTCATGATGAGCTCACTGGAGAGGGTGACCATGGTGAAGCTGTCCCTCATTCACGTAGGATTGAGAATGAGTCCGGCAGGCCTGGGAATTTGTTGGAAATTGTTCAACATGGTTTAACCATCGCACTCAACAAACAATTCAATGAAAACACCACAGACAATTAAAACAGAATCAACATGGAAAGGAAACTGCTCCTAGTACTTATTGATTCTTGCAAGGCGGGAACTCTTGGGCAAGATTGAAGCGCTGGAGCAAGAACTCTCGAAGGAAGAATGCTATGCAACACACAGCAGCTCCAGCTCCATATGAGTTCCTGCCACTTGAATATTATGTCCATTTTTGTCCAAATTAGTCCAACTAGTGTCCATGCTACCCTTTGTCAGGTCACAGGTGTATGAACTTCCTGAGCCAGGAGATGGTGATCAGTCTGGTGGGGACCAGAACGGGCATATGGAATGCCAAATGGAACGCCCCACGGATGACTACGCCCCTACCGAGATTGACCCGATGATCGCCACGCCGCCAGAATTTATCATGAGCACACCACGCCGTTTGCTCAGTCCAGACAATCAGCTTGGCCTATCAACTTCAGGGTCAAAGACTAAGATGTCAGAGGTCAGGGATGATATCCCAGAGGTCAAGGATGATATCCCAGAGGTCAGGATGAATGATATCCCAGAGTTCAGGGATGATATCCCGAAGGTTATTGACCCAGAGGTCAGGGATGATACCCAGCAGCATCTAGTAACAGACTAACAATCAAACCCATTGCTGAGCTGTGTGAACAAACTTCATCTACATGCCAACAATGGGCCTTTTAAACTTCTTTCTCAAGGAACTGCGACGGATGAATGCTCACGATGACTTGACCGGCCTCGAGGAAGACCAAGAGGCCATGCTTTCCATGATTCCATCACAATGTGCTTCAAGTGTGAGTTGCTTGGGGTTTATGCTCATGTGATTGCATAATGTGATAAAGCCTTTATGCCAGGTTGAGATTCCGAGCCCCTGTGATGGGGATGGCAGCGACAAGACCAACCTTGAGGTTAGTGTATCGTTTATTTGTCTAGAAGTTGCAGAGTGATGAATGATTGAATCTAAATAAGCTGTTCCTTGTCGTGTCATGTTTGTGCAAGAGTGCAAGCTGCACCATGCCAGCATGCTCAAGGATGTCAATCCCATCTTCGAATGTGAAGAATCTGAGCCTGAAGACCTTTCCATGCCTGAACAACATGTCTCTTAGCCTTCTCTGAGTCGTCATGACAAGTTCTCACAGCTAAGCTGCTTGCTAACTAAGCTGTCTGCTAAGGCTTCGGGGGCAAGCTATGTGGCGCCACATCCCAAAAGTCGGCCAAAAGCACGGGCAAAAGCGAAGGGAAAAGCAAAAGCGAAGGCAAAGATGGCTGCTAGAAGGGCAAAGCCCCGTGCGAAAGCAAAGGCGTCGCCAAAAGCAAAGACATCGCCAAAAGGAAAGCCTGCTGCAAAGAAGGTTGCAAAGTCTGCATTCCAGAAACAGCTGCACAGCGTGTCTTGGTTTACAAGATGTGATTCACCATACCATTTGGTGGAGCTCACAGGAACAGCTCAATGGGTGGTCCACACACTACGCTAAGGCCTACTCTGCGGCCTGGCATAAAGCAAAGAGAGCAGGACAAGACAAGGAGACATGTGCTGCAGCTGGCCGTGAAGCCCAGCAGAAGTTCCTCAGCAAAACATAGAAGCATATAGTAACAAATCCAGGGCAAAGAGAGAGAGAGAGAGAGAGATTAAAGATAGGAACAACAAGTGAGAGATTGTTCCAGAAAGACCATGCAGCTGATCTGAGGTTGCTTTCATCAACCCATGAGTAGGTTTCAATCTTTCAATCGTACTGATCTGACAA